TCCCGCCAAGGCATCGGGTCAAGAGGGTCTGGACTGTTAGAGGGAGGAGTCAACATTACAACAGAGTATATAGAGTACCACAGTATGAGTCATAATACCCATAAAACCTAGTGGTCAAACAGGGAAATGATTCCAATCGTTTTTCAACCATTCATTTTTTTCCATAGGGGATTTTAGAAACACATAAAATAAGGGCTGTGTTTCGTGTAGGCTTATCCGGCGTGACGTTTTGATAACCGTGTAAATCTCTCTCAGACAAGGTGACTTTTATCAATATATTGGCCTGTATTTACCCCCAACAAATGAAATGTTAATTAGCTGCTAATGAGGCTATCATAAAGAACTACAAATGTAATGATGATCTGGATGAGACTGCCAAATCGAGGCAAAGGTAAGAATCTCTGGATTAACTATCTAATGTTAGCTAAATGTAGTAATTAATCAATTGATTTACATTGACCTGTTAGCAAAGGTGCCAGCTAGAGATGAAGTGCAGGAGCTTGCAGGGATTTGTAGTCTTGCATGATGTCTACTTTGATGCTAATTAGCATTTTCGAAATCTGAGAGTAAATAGAGCCGAATATATTGATAAAAGTCACCTTGTCCGAGATTGATTTGCATGGTTATCAAAATGTCACGCCAGGGTAAGCCTACGTGAAATACAGCCCTTATTTTAAGTGTTTCTAAAATTCCCTATGGGAAAAATGAATGGTGGAAAAACGAGGCGAGGCATGGCTTAACGTGACCACGCCCCCGAGTAGGGTACATCCGTAGGGTACTCCCTTTACTCCCATGTTACATTTCCTACTTTACTCATAACCCGACAACGGCTGCATTCTTTTTTTAAAATCATTCTATAAACATTTTGGATATGCTTGGTTGGTCGTTTTTAATATACTTCCATGTCGTCTTAATCAAGAAACTACATCATACCTACATTTACATTTACATTTACGTCATTTAGCAGACGCTCTTATCCAGAGCGACTTACAAATTGGTGCATTCACCTTATAGCCAGTGGGATAATTCAGTGGCTAGCTTTGCACTTAACTGGCTAACAGTAGCTACTAAGGGTAAGTTATAACCTACATTTATTTTTGTTTTGTTTTTACATACTGGTAACAAGAGTCTTTCAAGGGAATTCGGGACATGGGTGACTAGTTAACGTTAGCTTGGCTCTCTGTGTGTTTCGTGCCGTCGGAGGAGGGGTGGTTCGTTGGCAGAGAGCAATGGCTAGCTAGTATGCTAACTATTCTAGCTAACTAACTGGCTGAATAAGTTGACGACGTACTCACTCAAACTGTCAAAACTAACCCAAAACCTTACACAACGTTAGACACGGACACAAATGATCTGTTTGGCGTGTTAACACACTGGTTTGTCCGAGTATTGGTGCTAAACCGTGTTATTGGAGGCTGGCATACTAGTTGGCTATGGCGTCATAGGATTCGGTGCCCTGGACGGTTTTCACCGGAAGAATACTGTACCAAGTTAGCTAGCTGAATAAACTAAGTTAGAGTCTATTCCTAGAAAACATTGAACCGCTGTAGTTTACAACAATTATAATTTCTAAAGTGGAAATTGGGAGAGTGATATTTGAGTGTTTCAGTGAAACGTAAGTGAGGGAGGCCCCGCTCTCTTGCTTTCCCAGATGTTTAGTTCATTTCATTCCGATCTCCTTTGCATTATTGTAGCCTTTTTCTGTAGCCTGTCAACTGTGTGTCTGTCTATACCTGATCTCTCCTCTCTGCACAGGCCATACAAACGCTTCACACCGCGTGGCTGCTGCCACTCTAATCTGGTGGTCCATGCGCGCATGACCCACGTGGAGTTCCAGGTCTCCAGCAGCCTCTGGAACTGCCGTTCTGCGGCCAACAAGGCAGAGTTCATCTCAGTTTATGCTACCCTCCAGTCCCTCGACTTCTTGGTGCTGACGGAAACATGGATTACCACAGAAAACACTGCTACTCCTACTGCTCTTTCCTCGTCTGACCATGTGTTCTCGCATACCCCGAGAGCATCTGGTCAGTGCGGCGGTGGCACAGGAATCCTCATCTCTCCCAAGTGGACATTCTCTCTTTTTCCCCTGACCCATCGTCTATCTCCTCATTTGAATTCCATGCTGTCACAGTCACTAGCCCATTCAAGCTTAACATCCTTGTCATTTATCGCCCTCCAGGTTCCCTTGGAGAGTTCATCAATGAGCTTGACGCCTTGATAAGTTCCTTTCCTGAGGATGGCTCACCCCTCACAGTTCTGGGTGACTTTAACCTCCCTACGTCTGCCTTCGACTCATTTCTCTCTGCCTCCTTCTTTACACTCCTTCCCTCTTTTGACCTCACCCTCTCACATTCCCCCCCTACTCACAAGGCAAGCAATACGCTTGACCTCATCTTTACTAGATGCTGTTCTTCTACTAATCTCACTGCAACTCCCCTCCAAGTCTCCGACCACTACTTTGTATCCTTTTCTCCCTCGCTCTCCTCCAACACTACTCACTCTGCCCCTACTCCGATGGTAATGTGCCGTCGCAACCTTCGCTCTCTCTCTCCCGCTACTCTCTCCTCTTCCATCCTATCATCTCTTCCCTCTGCTAAATCCTTCTCCCTCCGATCTCCTGATTCTGCCTCCTCAACCCTCCTCTCCTCCCTTTCTGCATCTTTTGACTCTCTATGTCCCCTACCCTCCCGGCCGGCTCGGTCCTCCCCTCCTGCTCCGTGGCTTGACGACTCATCGCGAGCTCACAGAAGAGGGCTCCGGGCAGCCGAGCGGAAATGGAGGAAAACTAGACTCCCTGCGGACCTGTCATCTTTTCACTACCTCCTCTCTACATTCTCTTCCTCTGTTTCCGCTGCTAAAGCCACTTTCTACCACTCTAAATTTCAAGCCTCTGCCTATTTGGTATTTTATTACGATCCCCATTAGCTGTTGCGATAGCAGCAGCTAGTCTTCCTGGGGTCCAGGAAGTAAAACGGAAGACGCGATTAGATCACTCAATCACAGTTATTACTTAGCTTCATTGTTATCCCTTCTAATCACCTAAATGAAATTCATAAGTATCCGCCCCTTTTAACACAACATGCGTGTACTAAAGAACCACCTCATGCCACAACACAGCTGGAGCAGAATTCACACGTAATAACTGACTAGATATTTCAACACACAAAAATATGTTGAATGTTTACCTTTAAAACAACATCAGATCTTCAACGTTATATTCATTATCAGAAAAAAATAACAATAGGCTGGGCAGCACCTCCTACTGGAGAATTGGTTATCTACAGCTACCATTTGGTCTCTCATCCAAGGTTTTAACCAAGCCAAGCTTAGCTATGATATTTCTCCCTGACTATTACCAATGCGCTACCATGAGAATGATTGTTGAAAGTTCTCCACTTAAAAGCTAAATAGATTCACTGTTGCTAGCAAAGTCATTCCAAAGGGTAGGTTTAATGGAGCAAATTAAATGTGACCATACTTTATCACTCATAAATGTATATTATCAATGATGCTATTTAGGCCTATATACAGTAGCATTTGCAAAGTCATCAACAAATATTCAAATTCCAGCAACGGTATATGTGAAATATTATGAGGATTATAATTAATGGACATTTTTTGCAGAGGTTGATACATTTTTCGTTAGGGAAAATCAAGTTTTGAACATTTTAAGTTGAAATAACAAACTTTAGAAGCCTTTTTAAACCTCAAACACTACACGTTTGTATTTCCTGCTGTGCAGGAAAGTTCCTGCAACAACAGGATGATCAAATTAAGATACGGCATCTGTATTTGGATAGGGTAAAATAAAATGGTAGTTTAATTTCAGTCATCAACACCAAAACAACATGAAAAAGCCATGACAACTCCCAACATGGGAGGGAATAGTTTCACAGAAAAACTTATTTTCATTGCAGTTTGAAATACTCTTCACAAAATTATAAATGTACAACTTTGAAATATACACCCGCTCAAAACAAAGAAAACATTTCCTTAAATATGACCAAGTTCATTTTGTTGAATGCACAACAACGTGTTATAAATAGTGATTAGTGGATGTGAGGTTATATCCTTCAACTGTAACAATTATCTAAAAACCTCTAGCACTATATTTACAAATGTGGTCAAGTTGCATAGTAACATAATGCATCAGAAAGAACATGACAGATAATATGTATAAGCATAAAGGCCATGTGCCTTTCCTCTAAAATAATCTCTGACCTCGCTCCAGCTAGCAAGCCCTTATCGGACAACTGGTGGCTATGAGGCAGCACACCACTGTAGAAAATCTGATATCGCACCCGTGTTGGCAGATGTGGTGGTATACCGCCAGCAGCCCAACAGCGCAATGACCCTGACTAACTGACGGTCGATAAGCACTTGTTAGTAGTAGTAGCACCTGTTTGCAGATGGTGGGCAATGTTAACTTGCCATCAGGGTCAGGGATGGCCCGTTTCGGGACAAAGTAAGGCAATTTGGAGTAGCAAACTCCATCAATGTGTGTTTTTGTGACATTGAGAAAACACATTTTACATAGACTGATACCCTTTTATGAGTCATTTTCTGCTCCTAGAAAATCTGAGGATTTTGGCCATTACCGTTCAATAGCACACTTTCCCCAACATTCTCACCTCATAGGTAAAGACATATTTGGTGACTCAAACAACTGAATAAATGCTCCATTGCCTCAGGGTTGCTACTTTGATGGATATTTCCCCAAATCAAAGCAAAAAGCTGGATTCTATTCAACCGTATGCAAAATATGGCCGTTTTCAGGATAGCTCTGTTATAATGCGGGCCAGACATCTCGTTGTGTGTTTGCCTGCTTCTGCATTCCAGTACAGTAGAAGGCTGAATTCCAGTGAGGTCCCAGTGGTACTCATCATATGGACATTAGCTGAAGACTACATGAGTATTCTGTGGTTCATTTAGAGTTATAAGTTAACTCTAACGCAATGCCTTTCCAGTTTTTTGAATCGACATCTGGGATGGTCCATCGTTTAGGCCTCAGAAGAAGCCTGGGGTTTGAGTTGAGCTTTCTCCATGGCTGTACCATAAGGATTGGATCGTTTGAAGAAGCCCAACTGGAAAGATGGAAAGAAAAAGGAGACTTATAACAATTTCAAATGTAATAATTACATGAATAGCCCTCATTGTACCAGACAGTTCAGTTAGTTTGCAGTTCCCACGGGGGGGGGGGCCAGTATGAAAAATGTATGCACTCACTAATTGTAATTCGCTCTGGATAAGAGCATCTGCTAAATGATTAAAATGTAAAATGTCAATCATTATTTGCTACCAACATCCACTTTCAATACTTTCAAATTTGAAACACTTGACCTTATCTAATAGTTTTTAGATACCATTTTATGCTACTTCCTAGCTGACAACAACTGGTGGTATCATGGTCAGGTCGTATGCTGGTTGTAAAAAGGAACGTGGTTGCTTGACCATATAACAACCAAAATGTGATGTCCCAAGACATCATCTGGTTATATGACGTATTCTCAACCATAAACAGTTAACAAGCATTATGACATTACATGTGTGTAATTTAGTATGCTAGGTTTGTCCTTTATGAGCCACCCTTACCTTGTAGAGTACATATATGAGCAGGGCGAGCAGCAGCAGTCCAGCCAGTATTGCCAGAATGATGATCCACAGTGGTACCGTGTACTGGCTGTCTGGCTTGATCCACATCACTGGAGTCAGGACCTGCAACACAAATACATGTTGTTACCGTGGGGAAATGAGAAGTCACTTGAAAAAATTGATGATTTAAAATCTTAATGTGACATTACTCATAACATAATGTTTTTAAAATGTTTTGTGTGCACATTTTCAAACGATATCACACAGACAGGACAGGCATAAAGCATCAATACCATAAAGGTAAATGAACAGATTATTAAATAAAGGGGAATATAAAACAGCGCTTGCCTTCTGGGATCCACTGGGTTTGAGTTTGGGAGGGATGGCATAGGGCATCTTCTCGACTCTGTACTGGACAGAACACTCCAGCACATACTGCTTGTATGCCCTCTGCAGCATTTGTCCAAAGAAAGGATGAGTTGAATTGATAATTTGAAATATATTTCCAATGTATGTACCAAAAACCAAATACCTTTCATTGTAAGAATTCACTACCAGGAGAGGGCGGCATTGTACCACAGACTAGCAGGACCTACATGTATCTGTATTTCTTTCGTTCTTCATTTTTTACTACTAATAACAGCAGTAGAATTATAGTACTAATACTACATTATAGTACTAATACTACATCATCATAAGGATTGTCAATACCAAATTCAATCACATTTGATCTACATAACAGAATATAAGGTACATGTGCTATTCAAACGACCATTTAATATGAGCAGTACAGCACAGTACAATACAGGACATGACAGAGTCATGCTCTCTCACCTCAATGAAGGTCTCAGGCCAGATGCGTGAGCGAACGGTCAGAATGACACTGCTTCCTCTCTCCAGTAACCCCACATGACAGTGCAGCCTCCAGCACTCAGCGGTAGAACACGACTATGGAGGAAGGAACCACCACCACATTTAATCAGTCTCACAAACAGTTGTTGTTAACAGTCTGTGATTGTGAGCAGTACAAGAGGCTATATGGAACTTTGGCTCTGGGGTATCATTCAAGACCAAATTGGACATAAACAATTAGTAACTGGACTTCCATAATGTATCTTTAAAGTAATTGTCCAGTGAAAATGGTACTTTTAAAAGTTCATATTCTGTTAACTCATACTCAAATAATGTTGACTTGTCTTATACTCGTATTTGTGGCCAAAGCATACATTGGAGAAAAAACACTTCAAAAACCCCACCTTAAACCTGTATCTCAAACAGACCATTTAAAAAATGCTTGCTATTTCCTCATAGAGAATGATGTCATCCTGCCTCATCAGTCGCCTACTTGTATTAATATTTTTTATGACCGGTATACGCCCACACCATTCTGTTGTTGGGGTATGCCCACACCATTACAACACAGAAAAGCTGCTTTTTAACATACTTAATTACACGTTTTTAGAAGGAAACGTATATAACTCATTATTGTAATTAATTATAGGTCATGTTTCATAGAAATCTGGAAACACTGGACTTTAAGGTTTTGGTAGAGAGAGATTCCCATTGCTGTTAATGAAAGGGAATGACAGTAGTTCGTTTTGTGTCCTTGGTGTAAAATGGGGAGCCATGGTTCATTTGTTGTGCATTTTCTGTGGTCATTAGTTTTTGAAGTGACAGTATACTGAATGATAGGGAGAGGAGGAAGGAATCATTGGGTGGAGAATGTAAGGGGACAAAAACAATGAGCTGTTTTGGGATACATTCATTTCACATAAAATGAATGATCTACCATGTATAATTATGAGCAGAGCTTATTATGATAGATATCCTCATCTCCTTCCATGATAAAATAATTTCCTTTCAGGTTGTGTTTTGCGGTATTAGGGGAAACCGCGGATGACTGTTCATGTTTTCTTTCTGTGGTAATTCAGCTCATGAGGTTATCGTTAGGACATGAAACGAAAGCCTTGACTCTAAGAGAGAAACTGCATTTACGATGAAAAACTACGAACATAAATACAAAAGAATAATAGACGATGACTTCAGGAAGAGAAGAGGTTAGGCAGGACAATAAACTCCCATAAGACACTCATTATCACCACTATACTCTCTAGCTTCTCTGCTCCCGGACCAAGTGCCAAGTGACTTCATTTAACAGCTGCTATCTGCTGTTTTACTGTTTTCAGAGTCAACAGACCTCTGCGGTCGTGTGTCAGTGTTGACTCCACATGGGTTAGGCATGTCTACCCCTAAACAAGACGAGTGGGGGGGAGAAAAAGTAGAGAAAGGGGGAGAAAAAGTAGAGAAAGGGGGAAGAAATTAGGGAAAACATCTCCCGGAGTCTTCATATGGGGGATCAGATGAACAGCTCTCGGGAGGCACTACTAGCTGGCTTTATAAAACTGGAGGAACTGAGAGTGGGGTTAGTCCTGTCAGTGGAGGGCTGCGTGTGTGCATAGTCATGTTTCCATTTGAAGAATCTGTAGCTACAATGAGTTCTGTTTTTTTATCGGTCTGGGGGTTTCCTTTCAGCCATATTTGTTCTCACAGTACATGCCAACATCATCACACTAACTGCACGTACCAAAGGTGACTGTAGAACCCCCCCCTCCTCCCCAAAACACAGACACACACCAGGCTGCCTCACCAGGTTGCCTTGTTCGGCCAGAGGATCCCTGTAGACCTCTCTCCGTTGGATGTGGTGTTCAGGGCTGGCCGTCAGTGGGGAGGGAGGCTGCTCTGTTGTAGGAGGCTGGAGCTGGCAACACACACAGAATACTTTCATGGGTATCAATGGACAACTGCATATCCTTGGCATAAATACTGTGAATGATATGACACCACACAAAGTAAAAGACAAGGTATCAGGGGTGGGCGTGAATGTATACAGTATCTGGGATGAGTGTCTGCGGATGTATAGTATGAGCCTGCGTGTATACCTCCTTACATGTGTGTCTGTGTAAGTGTGTCCCTCACCTTGAGTTTCAGTGCATTGAGGGTGTGGTTGGAGTTGCAGTAGAGTGGTCCCTGAGTGATGACCTCCAGAGGGTACAAAAGGTCGTGACCCTGAGCTCTCAGAGGGCAGCGCAGCTCCAGCACCGACTGACTGATCATACTGGGCCCGTTGTTCACCAACTGAGAGAGAGCGAGAGAGAGCGAGAGAGAGAGAAAATAGGAAGAGAGCGAGAGGAAGCGAAAGAGAGAACCCAAGTCAGCATACTGTACCAGGAAGCTATGAAGATAAGCATTTGTTCAACCACCCAACCCTAAACACAACACAAAATCCACTCTCGTGGCACACACTGAGTACCTCGTACACATGCTGGATCTCAGGCCCAACATCCAGCTCCTCTTGTAGGCTGTGGCTCATCCTCCAGTTCGGGGGAGGGAAGAGGAGCTTGTCCGGACGAGAAACGCTTCAATCGAGAAAAGGAGAGAGATACACGGTGGAAAAGAGAAGAAAAGAGTAGGAGTGGATGCAGACATACCCAACAGAATGTGGTACTTAAGCAATAAGGCCCGAGGGGGTGTGGTATATGGTCAATATTCCACTGCTAAGGGCTGTTCTTATGCACGACGCAACGCCGAGTGCCTGGATACAGCCCTTAGCCGTGGTATATTGGCCATATACCACAAACCCTGAGGTGCCTTATTGCTATTATAAACTGGTTACCAACGTAATTTGAGCAGTAAAAATAAATGTTTTGTCATACCACAGCTATCAGCCAATCAGCATTCAGGGTTCGAACCACCCAGTTTATAAAGAAACATAATTTACAATGTTGCTGGGGCTGTTGAGGTACAATATATTGGTACCCAGTCACTTTGAGTGTAGCTAAACAGGGAGTATGTTTATTAGTGATGGTGATGGAGAGCATTCAGTCATTTGTTTGTTTGTTTGTTTGTTTGTCCATCCAGCCATGACCACTCACCCCTGTAGGATAACATCAGCGAACACAGCCACCTCCAGATGAAAGAGCTCATCATCACTCTGGGATTTATTCTCATTTTTACTGAGCAGAGAAAGAACGGACAAGTGCAACACTTCATTTGGATTGTGCCAAATACTGTAGATGGTTTGTAGACGTTCGCCTAACTGTCGACAACATTTGAACTAACTATCCACTAACCCTAACCTTAGCTCAGTCAGGACAAGGTAGTAAGTATGGAAGTATTAGGATTTAGGTAATTTAACAAAACACTTTAAAAAGGAAAGATACATTCAACCTCTCACATTCAACTAAATATGAATACATTCAATAAATACAAAGTAATTTATACACTTTCTGTGCTGAAGCTGCAACTGTGACTTACCTGCGTATCTGGAGCTCAAACTGCACTGTATTGTGAGTGTCCATCAGTCGGGGCACAGTGAAGCGGAGGCCTGCCCACAACTGTGAAGATCCATAGAAAAGACAGGCGTTCAGCCACAAAGACACTAGAGATATAGCTACCTCAGATCTGTCAGAAAGGCAGTCTGTCATAAACACACAAACAGTCATTAACAGACCCTGGATCAATCTGGGCCACGCAGCATCAGAATTGCAAAGACATACAGAAACTCACAATCAGAGGGACAGAAGTACCATAATGCTTTGGCAACATTGGATTGTTCCTTTCATGACAATAAAGCTAAATTTGAATTTAAGAAACAGTTAGTCCATGATGATCCACTTACACTTGTTCCAGACTTCATAGGGTTGCCCAGGTCACAGACCAGATAGCGGGTCTGATTCTCTGCCTCGTAGCTACAGGTCAGCTGAGTCAGACTCTGCTTATGAGATACAGTACGAGCAAAATCATGGAGAGAGAGACAAAGACAGCGATTTACTTCACAGCATTTCCACATTTTCTCAAACTATTTATATCAGAACCATTGTTTTAGTCATCAGGCTATAATTAGTATCAACACTATATTGATATTAGTTAAATTATTGTTATGTGGATTAGCATTAGCATTCACATTAGCGCAAGTAGGGATCTTTATTATTTTAGCACTGTCATTTCCATTAGCCGTAGCAGAAGAGGGACAGGACAGTTGCTCCCTCACCGCATTGTTGCGGGCTATACCACTGTAGTCAGCCTCCGGGGGTAGCACCACGTAAAGCTCTGCCTCATAGGCCCCGCCCTCTCCCTCGTTCCTGGCATTGAAGGTCAGGGTCAGGGAGTTCTCGTCACCCAGATACACCTCTGTCCTATCGCTAAGAAAACCACAAGAAAATACAACAACAATGTAAAACAATCAAAAGTAGTTTTTTTTTCTTTTTTTCCAGACATTTCCCCAAGCATGACGAGACCTGTTGCAGATATTTTGTCTCATGGAATTTGCATTGTCTACATTTGACGAACGTAGTAAATAATCTCCTTTCATCTTTGAAGAGCAATTAAATATTTGATAGGGAGCTGCTGGACATTGTCTGTCACAATATCAGTGGGGGGAAAAAACATTATCCTGCAAACACACAACCACACCACCACACAACGTTGTCTCAAACTTGACTCCAAGCATCCTACGTTTTCCAAATGGTGGTGGTAACCATACGTGTGTATCCTACAGTGAATGGCCGGTATCTTCCTAAGTGTGTTCCCACTGGGCACACTAGGTAATTTCAACGTGGAAATGTGGGTAATATTTGGTTGAGACATTAATCAATGAGATTTTAACCTTTATTCACCCACTCAAAAAGACAGCCAGAATTTTGTTGAATTCCCAATGTGTTATCACTATGCTTTCAACCATCTAAAAGCACAACCAAATTCCAATGGAAAAACAATGTTTGATTTTTGGTTTAGTAGTCATCTAAATGTGTTGTCACTGCGCTTTCAACCATTTAAAAGCACAATGTCAGATATTTTATATTTATCCAACAACTTAATGTGTTATCACTGTGCTTCATCTAATGGCAGAACCAAAGGACCTGGATTGCTGTTGAGATTACATTAAAACTACATAGTGCAAGGGATCAATGCTGTTCAAGATTCTGCGCAGATTATTATAGCAATTATGAAGATCTCCACAGAGCTGCGACCTTTGCATGCTATCTTTAACATGCACGCTTTCTATGATTACATAAGACATTTATAGTTACAGTAGACTACCTTAAAAATCTGGCTATGGATGTGTAACTAATTTTAAGGTTGAATAAATACTGTTACATTAGTTTGTAAGATAGCCTTAACTTTAGGCTATTTACTGTTTTACAAAAGTAATATTGAATTGTGTTCGGTTGACAACGCAACCAAATATCAACATTTAAAGAATATCTAATGCTTTGATAGTTTCATCTGAGCCACTGACTTAATCCTATTCTTTAACTTTTATTTTTGCTTTAGTTGGAGACGTGAATCCAACATATTATTTGTTAAGTTGTCTACAAGTTAATATGCCATTTACTGTATTGCAAAAGTTATATTGAATTCTGTTTGGTTGTCAACGCAACCAAATATCAACATTTGAAAGAGATGTATATTTTGTGCCACTGACTTAGTCTGGCTTTAATTCCAGTTTGTCTACAAATTAATAATTGATATGTTGGATTCACGTCTCCATCTCAACAAATAATCAAAGTTAGAAAATAGGACTAAATCAAATCAAATCAAACTTTACATGCACTTTAAATAAAGTTTGATTTGATTTAATCCTATTGTTTAACTTTGATTCTTGGTTGAGATGGAGACTTGAATCCAACATATCAATTATTAATTTGTAGACAAACTGGAATTAAAGCCAGACTAAGTCAATCAATCAATCAATCAAATTTTATTTATAAAGCCCTTTTTACATCAGCAGATGTCACAAAGTGCTTATACAGAAACACAGCCTAAAACCCCATACAGCAAGCAATGCAGATGTAGAAGCACGGTGGCTAGGAAAAACTCCCTAGAAGGGCAGAAACCTAGGAAGAAACCTAGAGAGGAACCAGGCTCTGAGGGGTGGCCAGTCCCCTTCTGGCTGTGCCGGGTGGAGATTATAACAGTACATGGCCATTAAGGCCAGATTTTTCTCCAAGATGTTCAAACGTTCATAGATGACCAGCAGGGTCAAATAATAATCACAGTGGTTGTAGAGGTTGCAACAGTTCAGTACATCAGGAGTAAATGTCACTTGGATTTTCATAGCTGGGCATTTAGAGGTTGAAATAGCAGGTGCGGTAGAGAGAGAGAGTTGAAAACAGCAACAGCAGGTCTGGGACAAGGTAGCGCGTCCGGTGAACAGGTCAGGATTCCATAGCCACAGGCAGAAGAATGGAAACTGGAGCAGCAGCACGACCAGGTGGACTGGGGACAGCAAGGAGTCATCAGGCCAGGTAGTCCTGAGCCATGGTCCTAGGGCTCAGGTCCTCCGGGATGGGAGGGAGAGCGGGAGAGAGAGAGAATTAGAGGGAGCATACTTAAATTCACACAGGACACCGGATAAGACAGGAGAATAACACCAGATATAACAGACTGACCCTAGCCCCCCGGCACATAGACTATTGCACCGACGATACCCCCGGACAGGGCCAACCAGGCAGGATATAACCCCACCCACTTTGCCAAAGCACAGCCCCCACACCACTAGAGGGATATCAACAGACCACCAACAAAATAATGATTAACTTGAAGATTACATTTCAAATCAACTTGAGCTTGAAACCCCTGGCCTGTATGTATTGTTTATTTTTAGTTGAACCCTGGGTTGAATTGAAACAATAGCTGTTGATGACTTTGCAAATGCTATATAGGCCTAAATAGTATCATTGATGATATATGACTTATAGAGTATGGTTACATTTCATTTGCTCTGTTAAACCTACCCTTTTGAATTACTTCGATAGCAACAGTGAATCTATTTAATTATTAAGAGATCTCTCAATAATCATTCTCAAGATAGCATATTGGTAGTAGTTGGTGACAAATATTAAAGCTAAGCAGGGCTTGATTAAAACCCTGGATGGGAGACCAAAGGGTAGCTGTAGATAGATCAACTGTCCAGTAGGAGGTGCTGCCCAGTCTATAGATTTTTTTCTGATAGTGGATATAACGTTGAAGATCTGACATTGTTTCAAAGGTACATGTGTAGTATTCTGTGCCTAGAAACTTTGCTGCTATTTACTTGGTGAGTCACAGGAACATTCTAAAAGCTGTATAGAGTACCTCTGGGTTTGGCGAATGCCAGGAGAACGCTACCTGCCCGAATGCATAGTGCCAACTGTAATGTTTGGTGGAGGAGAAATAATGGTCTGGGGCTGTTTTTCATGGTTCGGGCTAGGCCCCTTAGTTCCAGTGAAGGGAAATCTTAGCGCTACAGCATACAATTACATTCTAGACGATTCTGTGCTTCCAACTTTGTGGCAACAGTTTGGGGAAGGTCCTTTCCTGTTTCAGCATGACAATGCCCCCATGCACAAAGCAAGGTCCATACAGAAATGGTTTGTCGAGATCAGTGTGGAAGAACTTGACTGGCCTGCACAGAGACCTGACCTCAACCCCATCGAACACCTTTGGGATGAATTGGAACGCCGACTGCGAGCCAGGCCTAATCATCGAACATCAGTGCCCAACCTCACTAATGCTCTTGTGGCTGAATGGAAGCAAGTCCCAGCAGCAATGTTCCAACATCTAGTGGAAAGCCTTCTCAGAAGAGTGGAGGCTGTTATAGCAGCAAAGGGAGGGAACAACTCCATATTAATGCCCATGATTTTGGAATGACATGTTCGGTGAGCAGGTGTCCACATAACTTTGGTCATGTAGTGTATATGTTTACATACCTTGATTGCAGAAATGCGCTTCTATTCCCAGGAGAGTAACAAAATGGTTTGTATCCTCTTGCTCATGGTTATTAATGGTTGATCGTTGTTGTTTGAGTGTTGGTCAACAGCAGAGTATGTTGCATTTTATCCTGAATGGACCAACTGGGACCACTAAACTAGTTCTAGCTCTTTTCCTTGCTCTCTCTCGTAGTAGTTTGTTTCACGACTTTGCCATGTGATTTTTATTAGCGGCACATTAATACAATCATGTTAAGTGTTTCCCATGAAAAACAGTGGAATGTGTGTTTTCAGTTTCCACGAGACCAAATCACTCAGTCACTCAGAAAAGCATCTATGATTCAGCACTTTCACTTCGATGACCTCCGTTAATGTAATACACAGCTGGTTTTTTTAGGCCTTAAATTGTTTGCTTCCCGAGAATTCCAATGTGAGGGGATGTTTTGTGTTCACAACCTTGAGGCCCGTCTCGGAGATGAATGTTATTTACTACTGGTACGTTGTGTGGTACATCCTCTGGGTTCAATTAAACATTGAACTATTTGATTGTACACATGATTATATTTCATGTACATGTTTTCCTGTATCTTATAACATCTTAAAAGCTTTGAATCAAATCAAATGCGACTTACAACCCCCTCTCTCCCTCACCACCTCAAACCTCCACTCCTCTCTCGGAGTCGGCAGCACGGTGTTCGGGATAGACTATCCATGGTGTCACTTCCTCTGCACTTCGTTAAACTGGCCTGGCCATAATTGGAATCAGCTGTGGGGTCCTGGTGGAGAGCCAGCCCCCACCGCCCCCAACCATATGACCTCCTCGGTCCCTTGGTTGTCCCCTCTTTCATTGCCCCCTTCTCTTCCTCTCATGCCCCTCCCTCTGTCCACTGGAGGTCTAGACACAATGACCCCATGCTCTACACCAGGACCACACAGCTGATTCCAATTGTGGCCAGGCCAGTTTAACGAAGTGCAGAGGAAGTGACACCATGGATAGTCTATCCCGAACACCGTGCTGCCGACTCCGAGAGAGGAGTGGAGGTTTGAGGTGGTGAGGGAGAGAGGGGGTTGTAAGTCGCATTTGATTTGATTCAAAGCTTTTAAGATGTTATAAGATACAGGAAAACATGTACATTAAATATAATCATGTGTACATTCAAATAGTTCAATGTTTAATTGAACCCAGAGGATGTACCACACAAAGTACCAGTAGTAAATAACATTCATCTCCGAGATGAGCCTCAAGGTTGTGAACACAAAACATCCTCTAGTTTAGTGGTCCCAGTTGGTCCATTCAGGATAAAATGCAACATACACTGCTGTTATCCAACACTCAAACAACAATGATCAACCATTAATAACCATGAGCAAGAGGATACAAACCAGTTGGAGTTGGTCCCCCCTTTGCTGCTATAACAGCCTCCACTCTTCTGGGAAGGCTTTCCACTATGTTGGAACATTGCTGCAGGGACTTGCTTCCATTCAGCCACAAGAGCATTAGTGAGGTCGGGCACTGATGTTCCATGATTAGGCCTGGCTCGCAGTCGGCATTCCAATTCATCCCAAAGGTTTTCGATGGGGTTGAGGTCAGGTCTCTGTGCAGGCCAGTCAAGTTCTTCCACACCGATCTCGACAAACCATTTCTGTATGGACCTCGCTTTGTGCATGGAGGCATTGTCATGCTGAAACAGGAAAGGGCCTTCCCCAAACTGTTGCCACAAAGTTGGAAGCACAGAATCGTCTAGAATGTCATTGTATGCTGTAGCGCTAAGATTTCCCTTCACTGGAACTAAGGGGCCTAGCACGAACCATGAAACACAGCCCCAGACCATTATTCCTCCACCACCAAACATTACAGTTGGCACTATGCATTTGGGCAGTTAGCGTTCTCCTGGCATTGGCCAAACCTAGATTTGCCCGTCGGACTGCCAGATGGTGAAGTGTGATTAATCTCTCCAGAGAACGCGTTTCCACTGCTCCAGAGTCCAATGGCGGAGAGCTTTACACCACTCCAGCCAACGCTTGGCATTGTGCATGGTGATCTTAGGCTTGTGTGTGGCTGCTCAGCCATGGAAACCCATTTCATGAAGCTCCCGACGAACAGTTCTTGTGCTGACGTTGCTTCCAGAGGCAGTTTGGAACTCGGTAGTGAGTGTTGCAACCGAGGACAGACAATTTTTACATGCTACATGCTTCAGCACTCTGCGGTCTTGTTCTGTGAGCTTGTGTGGCCTACCACTTCACAATAACAGCACTTACAGTTGACCGGGGCAGCTCTAGCAGGGCAGAAATCTGACTAACTGACTTGTTGGAAAGGTGGCATCCTATGATGGTGCCATGTTGAAAGTCACTGAGCTCTTCAGTTGGGCCATTCTACAGCCAATGTTTGTCTATGGAGATTGCATGGCTGTGTGCTCGATTTTATACACCTGTCAGCAACGGGTGTGGCTGAAATAGCCGAATCCACTAATTTGAAGGGGTGTCCACATAGTTTTGTATATGTTCCTGTGGCTATGTCTTCAAAATTACAAACTCATATGATACTTGCTTCAAAAAAATTTAAATAACATTGGTAACAACCTGGTACCAAATGGTGCCCAGTGGTGCTGCTTTAACTGAATTCCAGAGAAACAAACAAGTATGCCATAGGGTGCTACTGTGTATCATTTGACCATGTAATATGCTAGTAATTTATGTAACATTAAAAAAAAATACTTTCTGCGCTGGAGTTTACCTTTTAACACAAAACACCCACTATTATAGACCTCTCACTGGTCTGTATCCAATTTTATTTTCCTCCTCTTCTTTCATTGGTTCCCACTGATCTGAAAGGATGTGACAGGTGAAAGCAATATGCTGGAGACGTACTGAGTCCCTTCCCCTGTCGATGGGTCAAGAGGGAGAGGGGAGAATAGCAAAGGAGGCTATTCCGGAGTAATGCCTTGGTCTCAGGTAACGGAGAGGGGACTTCAGCTCACCCATAAACGGCCAGTTTGAGGTCAGGAACACAGATGTTGTCCTCCCCACAGTCCAGTTGAATCTGGGCCTGCAGAACAGAGGGATGGAAAGAGAGAGATGGAGAGAGATTTAGATTTTTATGAAGAAGAAAATTATTAGAGCCAATTCAGCTAATGTACATAATTGACATAGTGAAATCAATGCCAAAGCAAACACATCTTAGAATGCTAAAAACAAGTCTCACTTCTTCTACTGAAAGAGAGAGAGAGATTGAGAAACAGAGAGTTATGTGATACCAAGAAAGACATTAATCAAACTCACTAAGATTATCGGCTTATCACCTAGCCACTATATTTTCTAAAACTGCAAAAACAGCATGCAGTTCTATGAAGATTTACATTGGTTTTTGAACAACCGCTGGTACATTTACCACGGCAATGAAGATGTATGAATAACCCCCTAAATGAGGGGATGAATGGGAGGAGTGAGAAGTAAAGGGATAAGTGAAGGACGGAAAAAGGGAAAGCAAATGAGTGAAGGGGAGAAGGTGAGAATGAACGGAAGGAGTGTTTCATTTTGGTGGGAATGAGGAGAGGAAAGATGTTCAAGAAAGGTAGATGTACTCCAACATGAAGAAAGGAAGGAATGGGAGGAAAAGGGAAAGACTTGAGCTGCTTAGGGAGGAGAGGAACTGGTCTCCTAAGCACTCTGTCACTAAAGAGTAAAGACTGTACAAATCACAGTACAGTATAAATAGAATATGATTTGACTAGACTATCTCTCTTCCCTCTCTCTCCTACTCCTCTTTTTTTCAGTCTCCAACATCGCTCCTGCAACATTGCAACTGCGTACTGTGAACCCATTGTTACACTACCACCCCATCCATCCCGGCAGCAACATGTGGAAAACATTAGAGCCCAAAAGAATGCTACGACAGTGCAGAGTCGGCACAGGCGACCACTCACTCCGTCTCCGTGGTGATCACTAATTTAAAGCATCCAATGTTATCGTTCACGCAAGTCTATGTAGCAATCGGTCAGTCAACACAACATCACAAGACAGAGGAGCGCACGGGGTCTGGTAAAGGTCACACACAATCACTGCCCTACCCTCCCTAGCTGATCTTCTCCCCTCCCTCACTCTCTCTCTCTTTCATCCCTCCATCTTCCCATCGCCTACCCTCCATGGGACAAAAAAGGGGCGTTAAGAAGAGGAAGAAACTTTATTCATGTTTTGACAAGTTGAGAAGTGCAAGAGGAAGAGAGAGAGATTGCTAAATGTTTCAGTGTAATAACATAAGCCTGGAAAGTCCAGGCTGTTCCCAAAAGCTGTTCTAGCTAGGTTGTATTGGTTTCTCTGCCAATAGTGAGAGGCTCGGCGCACACACACACACACACACATATATATAAACACACGTGCTCCAAGTCTGGCTCGCTGGGCTCTCGACATGGCGGAGACCACTGGCAACATACATAAACAAACCACAACCAGATGGCTAGCCTCAGCGCCCCACTAGAAAGAGCCGTCAGTTCTCCCTCTGTTTTTTTCGCATAGCCGTGACTCCCCACCTTCACACCCCTGAGGATTCTACTCTCAATTCACTTATGTGACAGCATGGGCAGTGCCGTTGAAGGCTTTCATCTATTCTAAAGTAGAGTAAAAAAGGCTTTGTAGCAAGTGTGCCATCTATCCAACTCTATGGCTACCACATATTGTAATTCAGTGCCTAGTATATAAGGACTAACCCCCAACCTTTAGCCATATGGGGACCAGCAATACTGAGGGGTCCTCCATATGAAATCAATTTCAAAATAGCCACTTCTGACCTTATCCCTTTCTACTTTCTGGCACAAAATGTAAATATCGGGGGATGTAGATAAGGTGCACATTGTGTGTGAAGTCATGAAGTCTGGTAGAATAACTCAATTGAGTGTGCACTATGTTCATAGGCTACCCTCTATAGCAGGGGTAGGCAACTAGATTCAGCCGCGGGCCAATTTTTGTCAGAGCGAATGGATGGGGGGGCCGGAAAATAATTATAATAATTTGTTCACTGCAAATTGACCACAAGCCCAAAAATAGATTGTATTTGAAAATGACAATAATTTCTAAACTTGATTACATTGAGACACAATCACGCCTCTTTTTAAAATTTATTTTTATCTGTGGGAATATTTGGAAAATTTTTGTTTTTACTAACAACATTTGAGGGAGGAAAAAATCTATGGGCCCGTGGGACCCTGTTGCTAACCCCTGCTCTCTAGGTTGTGTAGTCGGGAGTTTCAGTATGGGTATTTGTGGTGCACCTGCTCTAAACGGTTAGTTATGTGGTCTGATAAATATGACCAGATATTCTCTACACATTCTCTCTGCTCTACAAGGTATGATGTCTGGCATGGTTGGGGTCAAATCCAGTTCGATTCAGTCAATTCAGGATATCAACTGAAATTCAAAATGTTCCTAATTGAATAATGTAGTTAGTACATACCTTCTGCTTTATAATATGTGTTGTCTGGTAGTTTAGAATGGGTCTCAGGCCATGGAGGTCCAGTGGAGCGAGAGGATCCAGGCTAAAGTTGAGGGTGACGTAAATGGGGGAGAGTTTATCCCGAAACTCCCCTTCACTCTACAACACACATGAGGAAAGAAAGGCAAAGGCATCACTGACACACTCAGGAGGAAGTGAATCGATGTTGCACTGACCTATCTTCATGATGTGTTAAACATGAACTTGACTTTACTTATTGTCAACTGGTTGAGACAAGACTCTGTGGGCCTCTAGATGTAAATGTACATTGTAGTAAATATAATGTTATAGATCTGTCTAAATGTACATTGTAGTAAATATAATGTTATAGATCTGTCTAAATGTACATTATAGTAAATATAATGTTATAGATCTGTCTAAATGCACAGTGCAAGGGAACATTTTCACTTTCAGTCATATTGAAACTATAATCAAAAACAGATAAACTGTCAAATGTAGCATTAAATGTTTCAGCCTGTTTCAAGTTACTGGTCTTTGAAGGCTGGATTCGAAGAAACGAGCCAACATTTTTGTGCCAACTTTAGGTCCACCTTGAGAAGAGAGATTGATCGGTAAGACCCACAGTTCATTGGATCCATGTTGTTTTTATAAACTGTGGTTTTCTCAACATGTCTTTGAATAATTTGGTAACCCTTTACTTAAAGCCCGCAGGCATAATGCTTTATATAATTGTTATAAGCATGTCTGAGCCTTTAAAATTATAACAAGGCTTATAAGTCTCTTTATGTATCAATCAGCATTTCAAATGGTTGCTATTTAGTCTATCATAATGAGATGATTATTAGACATTATAAAAGGGGTCAAACATGCTCATGACAAGCATGCATTATAAGCTCATGCATTTTAACAGCAACATCTCTTTGAGTGTTTGAAGTGTTTGAAGTGACTAACGCGCAGGTAGATGCGGGTGTCGTGACACGTTCGTCCTCCGTTGGCCATAGTGATGGTCTCCAGCAGGCTGGGCTGTTGGCTATCCAGGAACAGAGTTCTCCTCACTGATGATTCCCTCTGTTTCTGCTCCAGATAGTCCAACTGCACCTCCACCATAAAAACTGCACCACACACACACACACACACACACACACACACAATAGAACATGTCACACACACACTTCATATAACATATCACAAAAACAAACCCATTGAAACATACATGCATTTGTGCATGGGTACACAAACTATATTTTACCTGGTAAGTTGACTGAGCAACGACAGCAACGACCTAAGGAACAGTTACAGGGGAGAGGAGGGGGGATGAATGAGCCAATTGGAAGCTGGGGATGATTAGGTGGCCATGACGGTATGAGGGTGTCACGGAATCAGCCGAGGCTGCTCCTCCTCCCTGCTCGGGAAGGCTTCGGCGTTCGTCGTCCCCGGAGTACTAGCTGCCACCGATCTATGTTTTGGTGTTTGACTTGTTGTGTCCTGATTGTGTACACCTGTTCCCCATTATGTTGTATTGTATTCCCTATTTAACCCTCTGTCGTTCATTGTGTGTTGTGTGTTATTGTTTGCATCATCGGCAGTGTTCGTGTGCGGGTTGTTTGTTTCCTCCGATGTTTGGAGATTGTTTTTTCACTGGTTACTTTCGATTAAAATACGGTTTCCAGTAAGCTCTGTGTCCTGCGTGTGACTTCGCCTACCGCATTTCACTGTCGCCTTCTGACAGAATAACACACCATCATGGAGTCAGCAGGATCGGTTGTGCCAAGGGGATCACTGGAGGAGCGCGTAATCCACCAAGAGGCCAGGATCCAGCACCTGGGCACCACCATGCAAGAGGTGATGGACACTTTGAGGCGATGGGAGAGTGGAGGTTTGCCCACACCTCCTCCTACGATACCACCACCATCAGCCATACCCTTCGGTCCATCTCCGGAGTCCAGTGGGATTCGGCTCTCGCTCCCGAGGGCTTATGATGGCACCGCGGCCGGGTGTCACGGTTTCCTACTCCAGGTTGAACTCTACCTAGCAACCATTCACCCGGCACCCTCGGGATACGAGAGCGTGTCCGCCCTCATCTCCTGTCTGTCCGGCAAGGCGCTGGAGTGGGCCAACGCCGAATGGGGTGGGATAGACGCCGCTACGGTCAGCTATGCGGAGTTCACCCGCCGCTTCCGGGCAGTATTTGATCATCCCCCAGAGGGTAAAGCGGCGGGTGAGCGTCTATTCCACCTGAGACAGGGGAGGAGGAGCGCGCAGGAGTTCGCGCTGGACTTCCGGACGCTAGCCGCCAACACGGGATGGAATGAGAGGGCCCTCATCGACCACTACAGATGCAGCCTGAGGGAGGACGTGCGTCGGGAGTTAGCCTGCAGGGACACCAACCTCAGCTTTGACCAACTGGTGGACATGTCGATTCGCCTGGATACCCCCCTGTTGGCTACCCGCGGACGTCCGGATTCAGGGCCGTCCATTCCATCCCCCAGCACTTCCGAGCCGACCCCTATGGAGCTCGGGGGTGCTGGTGCTAGGGAGACCAGGAGGGAGACCAGGAGGGGGGCCGTCCCCTGCACCAACTGTGGCCGCAGAGGACACACTGCTGGTCGGTGCTGGGGAGGGTCTCCTAGGAATCGAGGCAGTGGGCGACGCACTGATGAGTCATTCCAGGTGAGTAGGCACCCAACTCACCCAGAGCTCTCTGCTGATCATATGTGTATTAAAGTGGTGTTTCCCGAGGTTTCTCCTCACTCCCAGCATAAGGCGCTAGTAGATTCAGGCGCAGCTGGGAATTTAATTGATCGCCAGTTCACCTATAAGTTAGGGATTCCTATCGTGCCTGTTGATGTGCCCTTCCCCATTCATGCCCTAGATAGCCACCCATTGGGGTCTGGGTTGATTAGGGAGGTCAAGGCACCTCTCCGAAATGAAAACGCAGGAGGGTCATGAGGAGATAGTACGTTTGTATTTGATTGATTCTCCTGCGTTTCCCGTGGTGTTGGGGCTTCCCTGGTTAACAGCTCATGACCCCAACATTTCATGGCAGCAGAGAGCTCTCCAGGGATGGTCTGATCAGTGTACTGGGCGGTGTGTAGGCGTTTCCGTAGGGGCAACGACAGTGGAAAGCCCGAACCAAGTTCCTACCTTGCATATTCCACCTGAGTATGCCGATTTGGCTCTCGCCTTCAGTAAGAAGAAGGCGACTCAATTACCACCTCATCGACAGGGGGATTGTGCGATAGACCTCCAGGTAGGCGCTGCGCTTCCACGTAGTCACGTGTATCCTCTATCTCAGGAGGAGACGGCCGCTATGGAGACCTACGTCACCAAATCTTTGAGACAGGGTTTCTTACGGCCGTCTACTTCCCCTGCTTCCTCGATTTTATTTTTTGTGAAGAAGAAGGATGGGGGTTTACGCCCGTGTATTGATTACCGTGGTCTAAATTAGATCACCATCAAATACAGCTATCCTCTCCCTCTGATTGCTAGTATGACGGAGTCATTACACGCGCGATTCTTCACAAAATTAGATCTCAGGAGCGCGTACAACCTGGTGCGCATTAGGGAGGGAGATGAGTGGAAGACAGCATTCAGTACCACCTCGGGTCACTATGAGTATCTCGTCATGCCATACGGGTTAATGAATGCTCCTTCAGTCTTCCAATCATTTGTGGACAAGATTTTTCGGGACTTGCATGGACAGGGTGTTGTGGACAGGGCGTACTCCCGAGTGGCGCAGTGGTCTAAGGCACTGCATCGCAGTGCTAGCTGTGCCACTAGAGATCCTGGTTCGAATCCAGGCTCTGTCGTAGCCGGCCGTGACCGGGAGACCCATGGGGCGGCGCACAATTGACCCAGCGTCGTCCAGGGTAGGGGAGGGAATGGCCGGCAGGGATGTAGCTCAGTTGGTAGAGCATGGCGTTTGCAACGCCAGGGTTGTGGGTTCGATTCCCACGGGGGGCCTGTATGAAAAATATAATGTATGCACTCACTAACTGTAAGTCGCTCTGGATAAGAGCGTCTGCTAAATGACTAAAATGTAAATGTAAAATGTGGTATATATTGATGACATCCTAATATATTCTGCTACACAAGCCGAGCATGTGTCCCTGGTGCGTCGAGTGCTTGGTAGACTGTTGGAGCATGACCTGTATGCGAAGGCGGAGAAATGTCTGTTCTTCCAGGAGTCCATCTCCTTCCTGGGACATCGGTTGTCCGCGTCAGGGGTAGAGATGGAGATTGACCGCGTTTCTGCTGTGCGTAATTGGCAGACTCCGACCACGGTAAAGGAGGTGAAGCGCTTCTTGGGTTTTGCCAATTGCTACCGGAGGTTTATCCGGGGCTTTGGACAGGTAGCAGCTCCCATTACCTCTCTGCTAAAGGGGGGTCCGGTGCGCCTGCAGTGGTCAGCTGAGGCGGACAGGGCATTTAAACGCCTGAAGGACCTGTTTACCTCGGCTCCGGTGCTGGCGCATCCGGATCCCTCTTTGGCATTCCAGGTGGAGGTGGACGCTTCCGAGGCTGGGATCGGCGCTGTGCTGTCTCAGCGCTCGGGTACGTCACCTAAACTCCGCCCCTGTGCTTTCTATTCTAAGAAGCTCAGTCCGGCGGAGCGCAATTATGACGTGGGGGATAGGGAGCTGCTGGCTGTGGTTCAGGCCCTGAAGGTGTGGAGACATTGGCTTGAGGGGGCTAAACACCCTTTTCTCATTCTGACTGACCATCGTAACCTGGAGTACATCCGGGCAGCGAGGAGGCTGAATCCTCGCCAGGCAAGGTGGTCAATGTTTCTTTCCCGCTTTGTATTTAAGCTCACCTATATACCAGGGTCCCAGAACGCTAAGGCAGACGCCCTGTCCCGACTATATGACACAGAGGAGAGGTCCATTGAGCCCACTCCCATACTCCCGGAGTCTTGTTTAGTGGCACCGGTGGTGTGGGAGGTGGATGCGGAAATCGAGCGGGCGTTACGTTCCGACCCTACTCCTCCACAGTGTCCAGAGGGTCGGAGGTACGTGCCGCTCGAGGTTCGCGACCGGTTGATATACTGGGCTCACACGTCACCCTCCTCTGGTCATCCGGGTATTGGTCGGACAGTGCACTGCCTTAGTGAGAAGTACTGGTGGCCAACCTTGGCCAAGGACGTGAGGGTTTATGTTTCCTCCTGCTCGGTGTGCGCCCAGTGTAAGGCACCTAGACACCTGCCCAGGGGGAGGTTACAACCCCTACCCGTTCCACAACGGCCGTGGTCTCACCTATCGGTGGATTTTGTTACGGACCTTCCCCCCTCCCAGGGGAACACTACGATATTGGTCGTTGTGGATCGGTTTTCTAAAGCCTGCCGTCTCATTCCCCTGCCAGGTCTCCCTACTGCCCTACAAACTGCTGAGGCCCTGTTTACACACGTCTTCCGGCACTATGGGGTGCCTGAGGATATAGTGTCTGATCAGGGTTCCCAGTTCACCTCTAGAGTCTGGAGGTCATTTATGGAACGTCTGGGGGTCTCGATTAGCCTTACCTCAGGTTTTCACCCCGAAAGTAATGGGCAGGTGGAGAGAGTTAACCAGGATGTGGGTAGGTTTCTGAGGTCATATTGCCAGGACCGGCAAGGGGAGTGGTCGGGATATATTCCCTGGGCAGAGATAGCCCAAAACTCCCTCCGCCATTCGTCCACTAACCTGACGCCTTTCCAGTGTGTGTTAGGTTACCAGCCGGTTCTGGCACCTTGGCATCAGAGCCAGATCAAAGCCCCTGCGGTGGACGAGTGGTTTCGGCGCTCGGAGGAAACTTGGAATGCTGCGCATGTCCATCTGCAGTGTGCCATCAGGCGGCAAAAGGCGAGCGCCGATCGCCACCGCAGTGAGGCTCCGGTGTACGCACCAGGAGACCGGGTCTGGCTCTCGACCCGAAACCTGCCCCTTCGCCTGCCCTGCCGGAAGCTGGGTCGGCGGTTTGTGGGGCCCTTTAAAGTCCTGAGGAGATTGAACGAGGTATGTTATAGGTTACAACTGCCCAGGTATTATCGCATTAACCCCTCATTCCATGTGTCTCTCCTCAGGCCGGTGGTGGCTGGTCCACTCCAGGAGAATGAGGTACAAGAGGCTCCTCCGCCCCCGTTGGACATCGAGGGGGCTCCGGCGTACTCAGTCCGGTCCATCTTGGATTCGAGGCCTGCAGTATCTTGTGGAGTGGGAGGGGTAAGGTCCGGAGGAACGGTGCTGGGTCCCCAGGAGGGACATTCTAGATCCCTCCATGTTGAGGGACTTCCACCGGAGTCATCCGACTCGCCCTGCTCCGCATCCTCCTGGCCGTCCCCGAGGCCGGGGTCGGCGCACGGCTGGAGCCGCGCGTCAAGGGGGGGGGGGTACTGTCACGGAATCAGCCAAAGCTGCTCCACCTCCCTGCTCGGGAAGGCTTCGGCGTTCGTCGTCCCCGGAGTACTAGCTGCCACGATCTATGTTTTGGTGTTTGACTTGTTGTGTCCTGATTGTGTACACCTGTTCCCCATTATGTTGTATTGTATTCCCTATTTAACCCTCTGTCGTGCATTGTGTGTTGTGTGTTATTGTTTGCGTCATCAGCAGTGTTCGTGTGCGGGTTGTTTGTTTCCTCCGATGTTTGGAGATTGTTTTTTCACTGGTTACTTTCGATTAAAATACGGTTTCCAGTAAGCTCTGTGTCCTGCGTGTGACTTCGCCTACCGCATTTCACTGTCGCCTTCTGACAGAGGGCCAGATTGGGAAATTTAGCCAGGACACCGGGGTTAACACCCCTTCTCTTGTGATAAGTGCCATGGGATCTTTAGTGACCACAGAGAGACAGGACACCAATTTAACGTCCCATCCGAAAGACGGCACCCTACACACTGCCCTGGGATATTACTTTTTTTAGACCAGATGAAAGAGTTCTTCTTACTGGCCCTCCAACACCACTTCCAGCAGCTTCTGGTTTCCCATCCAGAGACCCACCAGGACCAACCCTGCTTAGCATCAGAGCCAAGCCAGCAGTGGGATGCAGGGTGGTATGCTGCTGGCCAACTAAACCAATTACATACACAGTTATTGTGCATATACTAACACAATACACACACACACAATTGCAAATACCAATTCCCATGTGCAGACACACACACAATCACACACCCACACACGTTAACACACGCATACACACACAAACCTCGCAATGTTTCCCCTGTACTTACTCGATTGTCCTTTCATGTTAATCTTAACTGCTAAATTGACCACAGTGAGTTCAGGCATATTTGTGGCCACACCACAGAAGGTAATAGGGAACAGCTGTGTGGAGTCCTTACAAAAGAAAACCCTAGTCATTTCTAGATGGGATACAGCTTTTGTCAAATTGACGTCAAACGTTCATTTTTTTTGCATTTTAGCTAACCCTAACCCTTTTCCTAACCTTAACCTAATTCTCCTAACCTGCTAAGCTAATTATCATAACCTGCTCTGTAAGTTCTCCTAAACCTGCTACGAAAAGTCAATTTTGACAAAAGCTGTATCTCTTGTAGACAAAACGGAAAACACTGGGCTCACCTAGATCAGCAGGGAGGTGCTTCCCATTGGCCGAGAGGCAGAAACTGAGGTTGACACTGGAGAGAGTGAAGACAGAGAGACAGTATTTACATGTATTCAGTATATCCATGTAGAGCTCTGAAACATCCGGTGGCGGCAGGTAGCTTAGTGGTTAAGAGCGTTGTGCCAGTAACCGAAAAGTCGCTGGTTCTAATCCCCGAGCCGACTAGGTGAAAAATCTGTCGATGTGCCCTTGAGCTAATTGCTCCTGTAAGTCGCTCTGGATAAGAGTGTCTACTAAATGACTGAAATGTAAATGTGGTATATAATACTACCCTCCCCCAACAAAAAAATAAATTAACATTTGGTTAAAAAAATAATTGGTAAGAAATCTCTCACAAGTTTCATGCTAACTAATCTGGTTGCCAGTCTGTTTCTGTTTCTCTTGCCAACTCCTTGTGGAATGATCATGATTGGCATGAAAATGACAATGGAGTGGGCAAGAGCACAAACAGATCTGGGAACAGGCTACATGCTAACCCATTGAATGAAAATGCATTCAGTCTTTGCACAGAACTGAAGCCCAATTCTACCTATCCCCTTTAAAACAAATGGCTCAAGCTTTACAAGGGGAGGTAAAAAATGTGTGTGCGTTTGATTATTTGTGAGTGAGTGTATGTATGTATATACAGCATCCATGTGCTCAAATCTGTGCACGTGTGTGTGTGTTTGTGTGTGTGTGCGTCATCTCATGCATGCTGTGTCCTTGGCCGATGTTCCAAATAACATGTCATTCAAAGTGAATGGCAACCCGCTCCACCCTTTCCACTGTCCACAGCACCCCACCTCTACTTCTCCCTCAGCCTTCCCAAGGCTCCCAGCAACATAAACGGTAATCAAGAAGACACAAACAAAAGCAACTTGTGCTGTACTAACAGCGGATATCAAGATACCAGCCACTAGGCGTAACTTTCTTTGAAGAGTCTAAAAATCCTTAATGTTTCACTTTAATTTATGAAAGGAATTTTTGTGAGACTGAAAGCGGGGACATGTTCCTTTTGCTTGGGCTCAGAATATAGACTCCGTCCTCACACTGACCCGGCGACTGGAAAAGCTTGTCAAACATGGTGTCATTTGACATTCTCAAGTGGTGAATGCCAGACTTTTGTCCATTGACATCAAATCAAATCAAATTGTATTTGTCACATGTGCCGAATAAAACAGGTGTAGACCTTACCATGAAATGCTTACTTACAAGCCCTTAACCAACAATGCAGTTTTTAAGAAAAATAAGAGCAAAGAAAAATATTTACTAAATAAACTAAAGTCAAAAATAAAATAAAATAACAATAACAAGGCTATATTCAGGGGGTACCGGTACCAAGTCAATGTGTGGGGGTACAGGTTAGTCGAGGTAATTTGTACACGTAGGTAGTGGTAAAGTGACTATGCATAGATAATAAACAGCGAGTAGCAGCAGTGTAAAGAAAGGGGGGGGGGGTCAATGCAAATAGTCCGGGTAGCCATTTGATTAGCTGTTCAGCAGTCTTATGGCTTGGGGGTAGAATCTGTTAAGAAGCCTTTTGGACCTAGACTTGGCGCTCCGGTACCACTTGCCGTGCGGTAGAAGAGAGAACAGTCTATGACTAGGGTGGCTGGAGTCTTTGGCAATTTCTAAGGCCTTCCTCTGACACCGCTTGGTATAGAGGTCCTGGATGGCAGGAAGCTTGGCCCCAGTGATGTACTGGGCCATACACACTATCCTACCCTCTGTAGATCCTGGCGGTCGGAGGCAGAGCAGTTGCCATTCCAGGCGGTGATGCAACCAGTCAGGATGCTCTCGATGGTGCAGCTTTAGAACATTTTGAGGATCTGAGGACCCATGCCAAATCTTTTCAGTCTCCTGAGGGGGAATAGGCATTGTCGTGCCCTCTTCACGACTGTCTTGGTATGTTTAGACCATGATAGTTTGTTGGTGATGTGGACATCAAGGAACTTGAAGCTCTCAACCTGCTCCACTACAGCCCCGTCAATGAGAATGGGGGCGTGCTCGGCCCTCCTTTACCTGTAGTCCACGATCATCTCCTTTGTATTGATCACGTTGAGGGAGAGGTTGTTGTCCTGGCACCACACTGCCAGGTCTCTGACCTCCTCCCTATAGGCTGTCTCGTCGTTGTCGGTGATCAGGCCTACCACCATTGTGTCGTCGGCAAACGTAATGATGATGTTGGAGTCGTGGTTGGCCACGCAGTCATGGGTGAACTGGGAGTACAGGAGGGGACTAAGCACACACCCCTGAGGGGCCCCCGTGTTGAGGATCAGCGTGGCAGATGTGTTGTTGCCTGCACTTACCACCTGGGGGTGGCCCGTCAGAAAGTCCAGGATCCAGTTGCAGAGGGAGGTGTTTAGTCCCAGGGTCCTTAGCTGAGTGATGAGCTTTGATGGCACTATGGTGTTGAACGCTGAGCTGTAGTCAATGAATAGCATTCTCACGTAGGTGTTCCGTTTGTCCAGGTGGGAAAGGGCAGTGTTGAGTGCAATAGAGATTGCGTCATCTGTGGATCTGTTGGGGATGTATGCAAAATTGGTGTGGGTCTAGGGTTTCTGGGATGATGGTGTTGATGTGAGCCATGACCAGCCTTTCAAAGCACTTCATGGCTACAGACATGAGTGCTACGGGTCGGTAGTCATTTAGGCAGGTTACCTTGGTGTTCTTGGGCACAGGGACTATGGTGGTCTGCTTGAAACATGTAGGTATTACAGACTCGGCTAGGGACAGGTTGAAAATGTCAGTGAAGACACTTGCCAGTTGGTCAGCGCATGCTCGGAGTACACGTCCTGGTAATCCGTCTGGCCCTGCGGCCTTGTGAATTTTGACATGTTTAAAGGTCTTACTCACATCGGCTACGGCGAGCGTGATCACACAGTCGTCCGGAACAGCTGGTGCTCTCATGCATGCTTCAGTGTTGCTTGCCTTGAAGTGCACATAGAAGTCGTTTAGCTCGTCTGGTAGGCTTTTGTCACTGGACAGCTTGCGGCTGGGCTTCCCTTTGTAGTCCGTAATAGTTTGCAAGCCCTGCCACATCCGACGAGCGTCGGAGCTGATGTAGTAGGATTCAATCTTAGTCCTGTATTTACACATTGCCTGTTTGATGGTTCATCTGAGGGCATAGCGGGATTTCTTATAAGCGTCCGGGTTAGAGTCCCGCTCCTTGAAAGCGGCAGATCTACCCTTTAGCCCCTTTAGCTCAGTGCGGACATGGTTTAAGAGTGGAAAATGTACTATATAATGTGTCTTGGACTCAGTGTTGGGTCTATGCTCTAACACATTCACATAACACTTTATTTGAATTGATATTGTTGCTGAAGACAGTATCCCTCCTAGCAAGGTTGGTCTGAATGAGGCTACAGACACCTCCTACTCAATAAACCTGGTGGCCAGAAACATGACAGCTTTATACTACAGTACATTTGACATCACAAAGATCTAGCTGCCTCAGTTCACTGATGGAATATCAGTGGGGTTTCAACCAATCAGATTATTTTGAAAAAGAAAAAGGATGTATCAACGTACCAAGACACAGAGATAGTCTTGTTCCCATTGGACACCATACAACCCTTCTCCTCTGAGTTGATCATGGTAGGTTGCACAGTAAGAGAAGCACTGGCGTTGACAATAGGCCGAGCCCTGATAGAAAAATACCAACCAATTGGAAGATGTGATTACCTTGATTAAAAGCGTTGATTCCAATACAAAAATGTAATTCAAATTACATAAAGGTCAAATATAAAACAATGCTTTCAGTTGAGGTACATGTTTAATTTAACAATTAAAATAAAAATAAATTGCTGTAATTGGTCAGCAAGCTTATTTGCATCCACAATGAGCCAAACAAGTTCTGGTGAGAGCACATACCTGTACAGAACAGCCTTGTCAGCCCCAAAAGCACCTACGATGAGATCTGTACAAAGATGACACCAATATTAACACTAATAAGAAATTGTAAAAGGCAAAACAATTAAAAACAAAACAAAATAATTTTACCTGGGTACCCATTCTGGTCCAGATCTTTATTTCCGCGGAGGGCATAGCCAAAACTGGCAGGAAAGGTGCCAGAGGCCCATTGGCCAGCTAGAGCCTGAGTGGGCGTGTCCTTCAGCCCACTGGCGTGCCCGTTATAGATGAGGACCAATCCCTGTTGGTCGTCTCCGCCGAAGGGACAGCCAATTGCAATATCTAAGATAATCAACAGATAATCAACAAAGTTATGACACCTCATAATGGCTAATCCCCACTCCCTCTGCCCTGAGCTTAGTTATGTTCTTGCATGAAAGATGATAATCCCGTAGGCACCAAACGGGGGGGGAAACTGACCCCAAAAAAGGGAGGGACTACCTTAACTTGTCCAATAACAAATCCTAATTTTTGTTTTCTGTTGCAAAATGTTTTGCTACATTGTTCCTTAATAAATATGACCCAAGCTTTTCCAGAGTGCTCACCGTTGAAGCCGTCCTGGTTGAGGTCTCCCAGCGGGGCCAGGGAGCTGCCAAACCTCCCGAAGGCATGGCTCCCCCCCAGGGGGGGCAGGCTGGGCTCAAACAGCAGGGGACGCCGCTGCAGGTACACATAGACACGGCCCACCTCCTCCCAACGCAGTCCGTCAGACCCCCTCCGCATGAACATGGGAGCGCCCACCACCAGGTCATCCAGACTGAGGCCGGGGGGGGGGGGGGTAAGGTGGGGGGAAAGTGAGGGGAGGGGAGGAGAAGTTGACTAGGTCCAATCCAAGGCCTCTAAAGTTGAGTCAGTGTGTATTAGTGTAGTAGGTGTGAAGGTCGATGTTGCAGATTTACATTGTATGCACTTAGAAAATGTCCTATCCCTCTATGGTGAGTCTTCCTGAGGCTCCTGACTATCATTCTAATAGGATAGTGTCCTATCCCTCTATGGTGAGTCTTCCTGAGGCTCCTGACTATCATTCTAATAGGATAGTGTCCTATCCCTCTATGGTGAGTCTTCCTGAGGCTCCTGACTATCATTCTAATAGGATAGTGTCCTATCCCTCTATGGTGAGTCTTCCTGAGGCTCCTGACTATCATTCTAATAGGAGAGTGTCCTATCCCTCTATGGTGAGTCTTCCTGAGGCTCCTGACTATCATTCTAATAGGATAGTGTCCTATCCCTCTATGGTGAGTCTTCCTGAGGCTCCTGACTATCATTCTAATAGGATAGTGTCCTATCCCTCTATGGTGAGTCTTCCTGAGGCTCCTGACTATCATTCTAATAGGATAGTCAGGAGTCTGCCCAAGTCTGTCTGCACAAGTCTGTCTGGCCAAGCCTGTATTCCCAAGTCTGTCTGCTCAAGTCTGTCTGTCCAAGTCTGTCTTCCATGTCAGTCTGTCTGCCCAGGTCTGTCTGTCCAAGTCTGTCTGTCCAAGTCTGTCTGTCCATGTCTTGCCATACCTGCCTTCTCTTTGTCTCTCTTTCTCTCTGCATCTCTCTTTCTCTCTTCGGCTCTCTCTTTCCTTCCTTTTCTTCATCTTTCTCTCCTTCTCTCCGTCCGCTAACTCACTTACCCGTCGTTGTTGATGTCGGTGGCTGCCACTGCGTAGCCGAAATAGGAACCCATCTGGAAGACATTAGAGCAGACAGATTTAGCCTGTAATCACACTGTGGGGCATAGTATATCTTTCTTTCTCCTTCTTTCTCTCTTTTTATCATTCTCTCTCTTATATCCCCTCTACCCAGAAGCTTTCCTCTCTCTATTTGTCTCTATTTTTATTTGTCTCTCCCTCCCTCCCTCCCTCTCTGTCTCTCTCTCTCATATCCCTTCACCCCAGAAGCCTTCCTCTTCAATCAGGCCCCCAAATCCATCCCCTTCGGCTCCCTCTCTCCTCTCTGTTTTCTCCAGAGCTTCTGGAAGCTACATGAGCGGTAGAAGAGGGTAGCTAAGCGTTTGGAGGATGTGGAGGACTCAAGTTGCTATAGGCATCTCAGTGAGAGAGAGAGGATGGGTCACTCAGTGTCGTTATCTTTGACGATTTTATATTATGCCTTAAATGACGGACTATTGTCAAGAGTTTTATATTACAGCTATTCTCCTCTGGTGAATGACTTCCCCACACTGATTGAAAATGTGCAGGATGGGGTCCTTCTGTGAACTTGAGAGTTAGTGATGTTAGAACTACAGTAGTGTAGCTACCTTAACCCAACACCTAGCGACCTCGACAAGAGGTTCAGATCTCTTGGTGTAACGGTTAAGGTGTTGGGTTGACAGTTGCTGGACCCGGATTTGAATCCCAGTCTGGGCTACCCCCAGAATTCACTGCAGTATACTCTAACCAACATACAGCAGCAAGATTAACTTCATGATATGGCTACTTGTATGGAGTCATGTAAATGTATGGTACGGAGACATACTGTATACTGTACATCTCAATAATAAAGTGATTGAGGTGCCATAATATACTGAACAGCCAAAAGCACTGAAGTATGTGTCTTGACTCTTGGCTGCCGTCATTCTTTCAACAGCTAATGGCAGTTTTCTTGTGTTTCCACTGTAGCCTATGTGTCATTGTCTTGGCTGGGAAACTATGTAAGGCAGAAAACAGTCTAGTGCCCGTGCAGGCTGTCAAAGGGCAACGTGAATGCGGTAGGCGAAGTCAAACGCAGGACACCGAGCTACTGGAAACGTACTTTTACTAACAAAGTAACCAGAGTACAAAACAACCTCCAAACAGGGAGGAGAATACCCGCACAATAGCAACTGCCGAAAATGACGAGAACAATCACACACAACACACAATGAATGACAGAGGGTTAAATAGGGAATACAATACAACATAATAGGAAACAGGTGTACCCAATCAAGACAAAACAAGTCAAACACAGAAACATAGATCGGTGGCAGCTAGTACTCCGGGGACGACGAACGCCGAAGCCTGCCCGAGCAAGGAGGAGGAGCAGCCTCGGCTGATTCTGTGACACAGGCAGTCTTTTCTTTTGTTTGGAGTGGGTCCGCAAACTAAAACACTAAACCTCGTCAAAATTTAACATAACCGTCAAGACATTGAGCTTCAGACCCAAATCTAACACAACCGTCAAGACATTGAGCTTCAGACCCAAATCTAACATAACCGTCAAGACATTGAGCTTCAGACTCAAATCTAACAACCGTCAAGACATTGAGCTTCAGACCCAAATCTAACACAACCGTCAAGACATTGAGCTTCAGACCCAAATCTAACACAACCGTCAAGACATTGAGCTTCAGACCCAAATCTAACACAACCGTCAAGACATTGAGCTTCAGACCCAAATCTAACACAACCGTCAAGAAGACATTGAGCTTCAGACTCAAATCTAACACAACCGTCAAGAAGAAATTGAGTTTCAGACCCAAATCTAACACAACCGTCAAGACATTGAGCTTCAGACCCAAATCTAACACAACCGTCAATACATTGAGCTTCAGACCCGGATCTAACACAACCGTCAAGAAGACATTGAGCTTCAGACCCAAATCTAACACAACCGTCAAGAAGAAATTGAGTTTCAGACCCAAATCTAACACAGCCGTCAAGACATTGAGCTTCAGACCCAGATCTAACACAACCGTCAAGACATTGAGCTTCAGACCCAAATCTAACACAACCGTCAAGACATTGAACTTCAGACCCAAATCTAACACAACCGTCAAGAAGACATTGAGCTTCAGACTCAAATCTAACACAACCGTCAAGAAGAAATTGAGTTTCAGACCCAAATCTAACACAACCGTCAAGACATTGAGCTTCAGACCCAAATCTAACACAACCGTCAATACATTGAGCTTCAGACCCAGATCTAACACAACCGTCAAGAAGACATTGAGCTTCAGACCCAAATCTAATACAAGCGTCAAGACATTGAGCTTCAGACCCAAATCTAACACAGCCGTCAAGACATTGAGCTTCAGACCCAGATCTAACACAACCGTCAAGAAGACATTGAGCTTCAGACCCAAATCTAACACAAGCGTCAAGACATTGAGCTTCAGACCCAAATCTAAAACAGCCGTCAAGACATTGAGCTTCAGACCCAGATCTAACACAACCATCAAGAAGACATTGAGCTTCAGACCCAGATCTAACACAACCGTCAAGAAGACATTGAGCTTCAGACCCAGATCTAACACAACCGTCAAGAAGACATTGAGCTTCAGACCCAGATCTAACACACCGTCAAGACATTGAGCTTCAGACCCAGATCTAACACACCGTCAAGACATTGAGCTTCAGACCCAGATCTAACACAAGCGTCAAGACATTGAGCTACAGACCCAGATCTCCCGGGGGTCTGAGGTAAGCAGATACAACTCTTTTTTTCTTGCTCTCTTTCTTTTTATTTCTTTGTTTACGCAGCTGAGTCTGACGGTTCAGTCCAAGCACTCATGTGGAGAGAAGTCAACCTAAAGAGTCCGTCAAGTCAAATCCAGCCAAGAGTTTATTTCAGATCATTCTCCTTATGTAGTCAGCAGTCAGTTAGCAGTCAGTTAGCAGTCAGTTAGCAGTCAGTTAGCAGTCAGTTAGCAGTCAGTTAGCAGTCAGTAAGCAGTCAGTTAGCAGTCAGTTAGCAGTCAGTTAGCAGTCAGTTAGCAGTCAGTTAGCTGTTTACACAGCATGTTGTGCTTCTTATGCCCAGAACCCTCAACCCAAAGTTTTGCAATGATTTCCCATTGCAAGTAACAGCCCATGCGCCAACATGCACACATGCAGACACCAGTGTTGGGGAGTAGTGAACTACATGTAGTTCAACTAGTAATGTAATTACATTTTGCAGTAGCTTAGTGATAGTTGAACTAAATGCACATCTAAGTAGTGTTTTCAGTAGTTAACTGTTTTACCATGTAGTGGTGGAGCTATTTACTGGAGCTACACACTACCTTTTTTTGCAAAAAGAATAGAAAATATGGGTAACGTAGTAATTTCCTTTCTGTTTCAGCATCAGACCTGCCTAATTCTCACTTGAAACTTAGTTTTTGTGTTTAATAGGCTAAATTACACATTCTGTTAACATCTGACTCCAGAGTGATCTGTTCTTGCAATCTGTAGTCTATGACATTTCAGATTTGCATATGATAATTTTTCACCAAATAGTTTGGATATAGTGAACTACTTTTTCAAAGTAACTTTAGAAGTAAGTACACTATATTTTTCTTAAGTGTAGCTTTAGTGTAACTTAAACTTGTTTCAGTGTCAAGTAAATTGGTAGCTTGGTCAACTATATTCTTAGAGTAGCTTCCCCAACACTGGCAGACACACACACAGACACTCGCATACAGAATCAGAAGCAAGAACAACAAACACACACACAAAAACTAAGCACACTTACATGTGTATAATAGTAGGGGTCTCGTTTATCAACCATGGATAATTTAGAAGACTGCGAGAGTATAAAGGCAACCATGTCACTTAATCCAAAAACCAATTTAGCGAATGAGGAATCCAGACCCTTTGGCACAATGGCGTGTTGGTATAAACAAGCTCCCCACCCCCTCAGTTAGCAACACAAAATCCTGAGTTAGTATGTAGCCGTTATTCTTTGTGAGTGTGTGTGTGTGTGTGTGTGTGTGTGTGTGTGTGTGTGTGTGTGTGTGTGTGTGTGTGCCTGCTGTTTCTGCCTCTGTTTCTGATTCAATCAGAACATATGGAACACATAGGCCTACGTAGGCTCACCTCTGACCCAGGGATCAGGCTCCATCACCTGGGGGCAAATTCCTTCAGCACCCCCGCTATATATACCCACATATCAAAACAGAGGCACCAAAAGTACAGTATAGCCTAGCCCCCTTGCTGTTAAGCAGATGTGCACCAACCTGTTCTCCGGTTAGGTTCAGCATGGATTTCAGATCTGTTCCATTGAGTATGGACACCTGCATTGAGAGAGTTGGGAAAAGACCTTCAGTTATCAACCATGATTGTAGTAGAACCATCAACAAAATGACTGGCCATTGTAAAACACGTGTTACACATGTATTTATGAATATGTATGCATTTTAGGGTTGTTTATGTATGTTAAATATATTTATCTCTTTAAATCTCCCTATTAATTCACTTCCTGCAGTGGATGTGAATGTAACCAAATAAAAATGTTTTACCGTATCTTTGTATGGATATTCCCCCTGTTTATATTTTGGCGTCCTCTCACTCCCTTGTTCTCTTTACAGTAACATACGTTACCTCTATGTCAGGGGTAGGCAACTAGATTCAGCCGCAGGCCGATTTTTGTCCGAGCGGGTGGTCGGGGGGCAGGAACATAATCATAATAATTTGTACACTGACCACAAGTAAACCCAAAAAGAGATTGTATTTGAAAATAACAATAATTTCTTACCTTGATTACACTGAGACATGATCACATACTGCATGTCTCTCTTTTTATTTGTAGGAATACTTGGGAACAGATTTCCTGAATACATTGTTTTAGCTGAATTCCTGGTGATTTGACAGTCTTATTTGACCAAAAACTAAAATATGTTTGAATACAATCTTTGGGCGGCCCCAAAAAAACCCACTTGCGGTCCGGATTTGGCCTGTGAGCCGCCTGTTGCCGGCCCCTGTTCTATGTCATCCTTATGTCATCCCTATGTCAACCCTATGTCAACCCAATGTCAACCCAATGTCAACCCTATGTCATCCCTATGTCATCCCTATGTCAACCCTATGTCAACCCTATGTCAACCCTATGTCAACCCTCGTTAACTTGAATCTAGAATGAATTATGAAATATGTATAAATATGTGAGGACTTACTAAACCATACAGCATGAGTCCTTTGGGGACTCCGGTGACGAAATCTGCAAAGACAGAAAATGAGAATGAGAGAAGGGAAGTTTATGAGATTGGAGAGGGCAGTTGAGTCCAATAACCTCCAAATATGAACACACAAGGGTTCAAACTTTTCTGGTAATAACCCAGTGTTTAAAAACGGAAATGCTGAGGCTTGTTTGTTGCAGGTGCATGGGAATTCTATGATATTGTAGTGATACAGGCAAGCGCAGCGTGCAAGTTTTTATTTTCTTAAAAAATAAGCCAGTGTTGGAAATATTCCTGTTGTGGCTTTGAGTGACTTACTGAACTGGACAAGCTTCAGGGAAATATATTAGTGTGAGCCAAGTCGCTTTGTATTAAACGTGTCTTCTATACAAGAGTACTATCTGTTAAGTTCTTACTACAATAGACTAGAAAGACATGTGATAAGTACATTATTATCATATGCTCTGATATACTCACATGCTCTAATGACTAACACTCTAATGACTAGTGCTCTAATGACTAGCGCTCTAATGACTAATGCTCTAATGACTAGCACTCTAATGACCAGCGCTCTAATGACTAACACTCTAATGACTAGCGCTCTAATGACTGGCGCTCTAATGACCAACGCTCTAATGACTGGCGCTCTAATGACTAATGCGCTAATGACTTGCGCTCTAATGACTAACACTCTAATGACTAGCGCTCTAATGACTGGCGCTCTAATGACCAACGCTCTAATGACTGGCGCTCTAATGACTAATGCTCTAATGACTAGCGCTCTAATGACCAGCGTTCTAATGACTGATGCTCTAATGACTAGCGCTCTAATGACTAACACTATCATGACTAGCGCTCTAATGACTGGCGCTCTAATGACTAATGCTCTAATGACTAGCGCTCTAATGACCAGTGCTCTAATGACTAATGCTCTAATGACTAGGCTCAAATGACTAGCACTCTAATGACTAGTGCTCTGATGACTAGCGCTCTAATGACTTATGCTCTAAGAGCGCTCTAATGACTAGCGCTCTAATGACTAGCGCTCTAATGACTAACACTCTAATGACTGGCACTCTAATGACTAGCGCTCTAATGACTAGCACTCTAATGACTAGCGTTCTAATTATTAGCGCTCTAATGACTAGCGCTCTAATGACTAGCACTCTAATGACTAGCGCTCTAATGACTAACACTCTAATGACTTATGGCTCTAATGACTAGCACTCTAATGACTAGCGCTCTAATGACTAGCGCTCTAATGACCAGCGCTCTAATGACTGGCGCTCTAATGACCAACGCTCTAATGACTGGCGCTCTAATGACTAATGCTCTAATGACTAGCGCTCTAATGACCCGCGTTCTAATGACTGAAGCTCTAATGACTAGCGCTCTAATGACTAACACTATAATGACTAGCGCTCCAATTACTAGCGCTCTAATGCCTAATGCTCTAAGAGTGCTCTAATGACTAGCGCTCTAATGACTAATGCTCTAATGACTAGCGCTCTAATGACCAGTGCTCTAATGACTAATGCTCTAATGACTAGTGCTCTAATGACTAGCGCTCGAATGACTAGCACTCTAATGACTAGTGCTCTGATGACTAGCGCTCTAATGACTTATGCTCTAAGAGCGCTCTAATGACTAGCGCTCTAATGACTAGCACTCTAATGACTAACACTCTAATGACTGGCACTCTAATGACTAGCGCTCTAATGACTAGTACTCTAATGACTAGCGTTCTAATTATTAGCGCTCTAATGACTAGCGCTCTAATGACTAGCGCTCTGATGACTAACACTCTAATGACTAGCGCTCTAATGACTAGCACTCTAATGACTAGCGCTCTAAAGACTAGCGCTCTATTGACCAGCGCTCTAATGACTAATGCTCTAATGACTAGCGCTCTAATGACCAGCGCTCTAATGACTAATGCTCTAATGACTAATGCCCTAATGACTAATGCCCTAATGACTAGCGCTCTAATGACTAGCGCTCTAATGACTAACACTATAATGACTAGCGCTCTAATGACTAGCGCTCTAATGACTAATGCTCTAAGAGTGCTCTAATGACTAGCGCTCTAATGACTAATGCTCTAATGACTAGTGCTCTAATGACCAGTGCTCTAATGACTAATGCTCTAATGACTAGCGCTCGAATGACTAGCACTCTAATGACTAGTGCTCTGATGACTAGCGCTCTAATGACTTATGCTCTAAGAGCGCTCTAATGACTAGCGCTCTAATGACTAGCGCTCTAATGACTAACACTCTAATGACTGGCGCTCTAATGACTAGCGCTCTAATGACTAGCACTCTAATGACTAGCGTTCTAATTATTAGCGCTCTAATGACTAGCGCTCTAATGACTAACACTCTAATGACAAGCGCTCTAATGACTAGCACTCTAATGACTAGCAGTCTAATGACTAGCGCTCTAATGACCAGCGCTCTAATGACTAATGCTCTAATGACTAGCGCTCTAATGACTAGCGTTCTAATTATTAGCGCTCTAATGACTAGAGCACATTAGTATATTAGAGCATAGGGAGTCTTTAGATGGTTAACTATTAGACAGAGCTATGGCGTAAGCAAACCCAAAGCCCAATCATGCTCGAGCAAGTAAGTCGGCACTGTAAATATGCTGCCCTCACCTTCAATATTATCTCCACTGAACTCCCCACCGGCAACAGAGTAACCTAGAGAGTGAGAGAGAGAGAGCGAGAGAGAGAGAGAGAGAGAGAGAGAGAGAGAGAGAGAGAGAGAGAGAGAGAGAGAGAGAGAGAGAGAGAGAGAGAGAGAGAGAGAGAGAGAGAAATGAGAAATCAAGAAAGGCCACCACTTAGAGCTCTGGTCAAAAGCAGTGCACTGTGAGGGGAATAGGGTGTCAGATGCAGCCTCTAGCTACTGTAGCTCCTATGAAGAAGTGGACCATGCTAACCGAGGTAGCTGTCGTCATAGCTCCCCTGCACCTGCCGAGTCTGGATCTGCCCAGTAACAGAGAGCAGGAAGTAGGAAGGGAAGTAGGCCTTGACAATTTCCTCTGTGGTGGCTGAGATCAGTTGACCTGTAAGCCGGAAAGGATGGAGAAAAGAGTCAGAGGTCAGGGGTTAAGACAAGAGCCGAGACTTTTGAACTATGTTTTTTAGCTGCACTAAAATGACTGTTGAAGTTTGGCCCTGTGGAGGGTGTAGGGGGTAACTTTGCCGCTTGGGGAACAATATGCCGTTGTCTGCGCAGGTTCTAATCCCGCCTTTCGCTATACTGACACACACAAATCTCTCTCCACTGTACCTGTCTCTCTCCACTGTACCTGTCTCTCTCCACTGTACCTGTCTTTCTCCACTGTACCTGTCTCTCGCCACTGTACCTCTCTCTCTCCACTGTACCTGTCTCTCTCCACTGTACCTGTCTCTCTCTACAGTACCTGTCTCTCTCCACTGTACCTGTCTATCACCACTGTACCTGTCTCTCTCCACTGTACCTGTCTCTCACCACTGTACCTGTCTCTCTCCACTGTACCTGTCTCTCTCCACAGTACCTGTCTCTCTCCACTGTACCTGTCTTTCTCCACTGTACCTGTCTATCTCCACTGTACCTGTCCTCCTCCTGTCCCTCACTGTACCTGTCTCTCTCCACTGTACCTGTCTCTCTCCACTGTACCTGTCTCTCTCCACTGTACCTGTCTTCTCTCACTGTACCTGTCTTCTCCACGTACCTGTCTTCTCCACTGTACCTGTCTTCTCTCCACTGTACCTGTCTCTCTCCACTGTACCTGTCTCTCTCCACTGTACCTGTCTTCTCCACTGTACCTGTCTTCTCCACTGTACCTGTCTTCTCCACTGTACCTGTCTCTCTCCACTGTACGTCTCTCCACGTACCTGTCTCTCCCACTGTACCTGTCTTCTCCACTGTACCTGTCTATCTCCACTGTACCTGTCTCTCTCCACTGTACCTGTCTCTCTCCACTGTACCTGTCTCTCTCCACTGTACCTGTCTCTCTCCACTGTACCTGTCTCTCTCCACTGTACCTGTCTTTCTCCACTGTACCTGTCTTTCTCCACTGTACCTGTCTCTCTCCACTGTACCTGTCTCTCTCCACTGTACCTGTCTTCTCACTGTACTGTCTTCTCCACGCTCTCCACTGTACCTGTCTCTCTCCACTGTACCTGTCTCTCTCCACTGTACCTGTCTTCTCCACTGTACGTCTTCTCCACTGTACCTGTCTCTCTCCACTGTACCTGTCTATCTCCACTGGTACACTGTCTATCTCCACTGTACCTGTCTCTCTCCACTGTACCTGTCTTTCTCCACTGTACCTGTCTCTCTCCACTGTACCTGTCTATCTCCACTGTACCTTTCTATCTCCACTGTACCTGTCCTTCTCAACTGTACCTGTCTTTCTCCACTGTACCTGTCTCTCTCCACTGTACCTGTCTCTCTCCACTGTACCTGTCTCACTCCACTGTACCTGTCTCTCTCCACTGTACCTGTCTCTCTCCACTGTACCTGTCTTTCTCCACTGTACCTGTCTTTCTCCACTGTACCTGTCTCTCTCCACTGTACCTGTCTATCTCCACTGTACCTGTCTCTCTCCACTGTACCTGTCTCTCTCCACTGTACCTGTCTATCTCCACTGTACCTGTCCTTCTCCAACGTACCTGTCTATCTCCACAGTACCTGTCTCTCTCCACTGTACCTGTCTTTCTCCACTGTACCTGTCTCTCTCCACTGTACCTGTCTCTCTCCACTGTACCTGTCTCTCTCCACTGTACCTGTCTCACTCCACTGTACCTGTCTTCTCTACTGTACCTGTCTTTCTCCACTGTACCTGTCTCTCTCCACTGTACCTGTCTTTCTCCACTGTACCTGTCTCTCCACTGTCCTCTTTCTCCACTGTACCGTCTTTCTCACTGTACCTGTCTCTCTCCACTGTACCTGTCCTCCATGTACTGTACTCTCCACTGTACCTGTCCCTCTCCACTGTACCTGTCTCTCTCCACTGTACCTGTCTTTCTCCACTGTACCTGTCTTTCTCCACTGTACCTGTCTCTCTCCATTGTACCTGTCTAATAAAAAGGAAAAATGAGAGAGTGGGAATTCCCAGTATAGTGAACTACTGTACTGTATGCTATCTCTACATACTGTACTTGAGCCAATTCATAGAAATCCACACATGGTCCCAATAGGATCCAATCATAAATCTAATAGCGCACTCACCTTGCCAGTAAAAGCTTCCTGGTCCTCCAAGAACAATCTTCCCATCCTGAAACACACAGAAAACCACCACTCTGATGAGCACCTTAGGTATCAAGCAAGTTTTCAAACTTTTGAAACTCCATGTAAGTCTTATGTTATGTGGCTAAACATACAGTCGTGGTCAAATGTTTTGAGAATGACAAGTATTGGTCTTTACAAAGTTCGCTGCTTCAGTGTTATGAGATATTTTTCTCAGATGTTACTATGGTATACTGAAGTATAATTACAAGCATTCCATAAGTGTCAAAGGCTTTTATTGACAATTACATTAAGTTTATGTAAAGAGTCAATATTTGCAGTGTTCACCCTTCTTTTTCAAGACCTCTGCAATCTGCCCTGGAATGCTGTCAATTAACTTCTGGGCCACATCCTGACTGATGGCAGCCCATTCTTGCATAATCAATGCTTGGAGTTTGTCAGAATTTGTGGGGTTTTGTTTGTCCACCTGCCTCTTGAGGATCGACCACAAGTTCTCAATGGGATTAAGGTCTGGGGAGTTTCCTGGCCATGGACCCAAAATGTCGATGTTTTGTTCCCCGAGCCACTTAGTTATCACTTTTGCCTTATGGCAAGGTGCTCCATCATGCTGGAAAAGGCATTGGTCATCACCAAACTGTTCTTGGATGGTTGGGAGAAGTTGCTTTCGGAGGATGTGTTGGTACCATTCTTTATTCATGGCTGTGTTCTTAGGCAAAATTGTGAGTGAGCCCACTCCCTTGGCTGAGAAGCAACCCCACACATGAATGGTCTCAGGATGCTTTACTGTTGGCATGACACAGGACTGATGGTAGCGCTCACCTTGTCTTCTCCGGACAAGCTGTTTTCCGGATGCCCCAAACAATCGGAAAGGGGATTCATCAGAGAAAATTACTTTACCCCAGTCCTCAGCAGTCCAATCCCTGTACCTTTTGCAGAATATCAGTCTGTCCCTGATGTTTTTCCTGGAGAGAAGTGGCTTCTTTGCTGCCCTTCTTGACACCAGGCCATCCTCCAAAAGTCTTCGCCTCACTGTGCATACAGATGGACTCGCACCTGCCTGCTGCCATTCCTGAGCAAGCTCTGCACTGGTGGTGCCCCGATCCCGCAGCTGAATCAACTTTAGGAGATGGTCCTGGCGCTTGCTGAACTTTCTTGGGCGCTCTGACGCCTTCTTCACAACAATTGAACCTCTCTCCTTGAAGTTCTTGATGATCCGATAAATGGTTGATTTAGGTGCAGTCTTACTAGCAGCAATATCCTTGCCTGGGAAGCCCTTTTTGTGCAAAGCAATGATGACGGCACGTGTTTCCTTGCAGGTAACCATGGTTAACAGAGGAAGAACAATGACTTTGCAATTAATTGCAATTCATCTGATCACTCTTCATGACATTCTGGAGTATATGCAAATTGCCATCATCAAAACTGAGGCAGCAGACTTTGTGAAAATCAGTATTTGTGTCATTCTCAAAACTTTTGACCAGGACTGTACAGTATGCATACAGTGGGCTGTTCCAGAAAGCATGATCATTCAGTTAGCCAGCTTACTTTGATAAGCAGACAGATATGTCTTGATTTCCTGAATCATTCAGAAAGCAAAACTGAATATGGGTTGTTTGTTGTTGAGTCAATTATACAATGCCAATTTCAAGTCTATATTTCTTGAAAGTTAATTGGAAGTTCATTCAGAATTTCTGGGACAGTTACCTGGCTAAGATTAAAATTACTTTATTGGTCAATTGCACACAAGGTCCAACCAAAATGTTACTTCCACTTTTAACCCAACCCCTCCGAAAAACACACATACATTATATACACAGGTTTTTAGAGAGGTGCGGAGGGGCTACCTGCCGCCCCATACAAAAAATCTCTAACTTATTGATCCTGCTTTCTGGAACAGCACCCAAGAACATAAGGAGTTCTCCCCTTTAAACACTCAAAGATAATCTATTTTAAATGATTTGTTAATGAATTGTTACTTGTCCTCTTCTACGTACCTTGGTGAAGTCAGCACTGAACCCACCCTGACAGTAGCCCTGCCCTGCGGGACCATGTCTCTCTGAGGTAAAAGGAAGCGATGCAGAACACATTGAAAAGGCCACCACCCAAATGGCCCATCCAGGGCCCGGTTTCCCAAAAGCATCCAAAAGGCTAAGTTCATCGTTAGAACCTTTGTAGGAGAATCGTTAAATATCTGAGCTGTTTCCCATTGTTATTTACGTTGCACTTGAAAAAAGTGTAATCTAACGCCTGCCTCAGACCACTCAGAACAGCTAAGTGCGCCGTTAGATGTTTTTTTGCCTTCCCGCGTCACTTTATTCACAGATCTCCGCTAAACATAGAATTACATGGTTTATCCGTTTCTCTGTGACCACCGATAACTTCACAAGAAAGTTGACTACAAATACAAAGTTACCAATGTCTTTGCAATTGATGCAAACAAGCAACATATAAGAATATGCTTCAAATGAAAACCGAGATGACTGCATTAAAATATATACAGTATGCTATAGGCCTATTTCAATCATATTGAAATATATTTAACTTTCAATCAATTGAGTTCTATTTTGCTACGGTCTGTAATTTGTCTAAATATATTTCATGATGTGTAGCCTAACGTGCGCAATAATAATAATAATATGCCCTTTAGCAGACGCTTTTATCCAAAGCGACTTACAGTCATGTGTGCATACATTTTTAGGTATGGGTGGTCCCGGCGATCGAACCCACTACCCTGGGGTTACAAGCGCCATGCTCTACCAATTGAGCTACAGAGGACCACCCAATGTGCCAATTCTGTGATTCAGTGCATTTTTATTGGGTAAGCATTAGAAAAAGCCGCCTCAATAATTGCAGCCGTAGGTGGTAATATCTCTCTAGGAGCTGATCTGTCGTAAGTATTGTGAAATAATTATAATGTTAAAGTAAGATTTGAATGGGGAAAGCTGATCCGAGAGTAACACTCCCTTTATTTCGATCCTATCAGTATCGACACATGTTCCAACGATGGCCTTAGCGAACGTTCTCTCTGCGTGGTGTATTGGGAAAAGCGGGTTACATCTTCGGCCGTTGTAGGAAAGGTGCATCTTTAAAACTCTCGTAAGCGTAAGCTCCATCGCTATCAGGAAACCTGGCCCTGGGCAGTATCATAACATTGTGCGCAAACAAACCTCCCATTGACATCAGTGGTCAATTTACAAGAAAGTTAAAGTTGGATCTAAAGTCAAGATTCGGCCCTCACCCTCACAAGACAAACCTGTGGCTGCACGTTTCGTCACTACTTCATTCAATTGACTTCAGGTACAGTATTTTGGATCAGGATGTCGTTGCAGTACTGTACCTGTGCGACAGGGGGCGTACTCCACAAACGTCTTGAGGTTGTCCACGGAGAGGTAGCAGGTTCCTGTGGCGTCCGAGAAGGGGGCGTCATGTTCCATTCTCCAGTAATACCTCGGGGCACAAGCCTTGGACACATTCAAGAGAGGAGTTAGACAAGATTAGAATTCAAAACAACACACAAGAACTTCACAACTATCAACTGTCGGATGTTGATAGGCATCACCGACACATACTGAAAAGCTTTTTATGACTGGGGCTATGGTCGACTTCAGTGGAGGCTGCTGAGGGGAGGACGGCTCATAATAATGTCTAGAATGGAGCAAATGGAATGGTATCAAACCATGTGTTTGTTGTATTTCATACCGTTCCCCTCATTCCGCTCCAGCCATTACCACGAGCCTGTCCTCCCCAATTAAGGTGCCATCAACCTCCTGTGGTCGACTTGTGGTAGAACTTGTGAACGATATCAAAATCCAAATAAAATTATATATACACAGTATCTCACAAAAGTGAGTACACCCCTCACATTTTTGTAAATATTTGAGTATATCTTTTCATGTGACAACACTGAAGAAATGACACTTTGCTACAATGTAAAGTAGTGAGTGTACAGCTTGTATAAGTGTACATTTGCTGTCCCCTCAAAATAACTCAACACACAGCCATTAATGTCTAAACCGCTGGCAACAAAAGTGAGTACACCCCTATGTGAAAATGTCAAAATTGGGCCCAATTACTCTCAGAACAGGCCTCGCCATGGTCGACCAAAGAAGTTGAGTGCACATGCTCAGCGTCATTTCCAGAGGTTGTCTTTGGGAAATAGACATATGTATGAGTGCTGCCAGCATTGCTGCAGAGGTTGAAGGGGTGGGGGGGTCAGCCTGTCAGTGCTCAGACCATACGCCGCACACTGCATCAAATTGGTCTGCATGGCTGTTGTCCCAGAAGGAAGCCTCTTCTAAAGATGATGCACAAGAAAGCCCGCAAACAGTTTGCTGAAGACAAGCAGACTAAGGACATGGATTACTGGAACCATGTCCTGTGGTCTGATGAGACCAAGATAAACTTATTTGGTTCAGATGGTGTCAAGCGTGTGTGGCGGCAACCAGGTCTTGCCTACAGTCAAGCATGGTGGTGGGAGTGTCATGGTCTGGGGCTGCATGAGTGCTGCCAGCACTGGGGAGCTACAGTTCATTGAGGGAACCATGAATGCCAACATGTACTGTGACATACTGAAGCAGAGCATGATCCCCTCCTTTCGGAGACTGGGCCGCAGGGCAGTATTCCAACATGATAACGACCCCAAATACACCTCCAAGACGACCACTGCCTTGCTAAAGAAGCTGAGGGTAAAGGTGATGGACTGGCCAAGCATGTCTCCAGACCTAAACCCTATTGAGCATCTGTGGGGCATCCTCAAACAGAAGGTGGAAGAGTACAAGGTCTCTAACATCCACCAGCTCTGTGATGTCGTCATGGAGGAGTGGAAGAGGACTCCAGTGGCAACCTGTGAAGCTCTGGTGAACTCCATGCCCAAGAGGGTTAAGGCAGTGCTGGAAGATGATGGTGGCCACACAAAATATTGACACTTTGGGCCCAATTTGGACATTTTCACTTAAGGGTGTACTCAATTTTGTTGCCAGCTGTTTAGACATGAATGGCTGTGTGTTGTGTTATTTTGAGGGGACAGCAAATTTACACTGTTATACAAGCTGTACACTCACTACTTTACATTGTAGCAAAGTGTCATTTCTTCAGTGTTGTCACATGAAAAGATATACTCAAATATTTACAAAAATGTGAGGGGTGTACTTACTTTTGTGAGATACTGTATATATATATTTCTGTGAGCAATTCTAACAGGAGAGTTAGATGATGACCTATTCCCTTCTATTCCACAGAACGTAGAAGCCTATCTTACCAGAACAGTGTTGCCATGGGAACGCACCGTCGCCCCAAACCACTGATGGGACTTGAACTCGACCTGGACGTCGACGTCGTTGACATGGAAACTGCGATCTCCTGGCAGATGCCAAAGAAACGCACCTTTACATTCATAATGCAGTACTTGTATGACATTGTAATAGCTACACCAGTGTTTCCCAAACCCCTCCTCAAGTAACCCTACTGTTCCACTTATTTCAGGACAATCACACCTGATTCCACTAATGAGGGGCGTGATCGACTTGGTACTGGTACTCCCTGTATATAGCCATGTTATTTTATACTCCCTGTATATAGCTATATTATTTTCTACTCCCTGTCTATAACCATGTTATTTTATACTCCCTGTCTATAACCATGTTATTTTATACTCCCTGTATATAGCTATGTTATTTTCTACTCCCTGTATATAACCATGTTATTTTATACTCCCTGTATATAGCCATGTTATTTTATACTCCCTGTATATAGCTATGTTATTTTCTACTCCCTGTATATAACCATGTTATTTTATACTCCCTGTATATAACCATGGTATTTTATACTCCCTGTATATAGCTATGTTATTTTCTACTTCCTGTATATAGTCATGTTATTTTCTACTTCCTGTATATAGCCATGTTATTTTAACTCATTATTGTTATTTGTTATTCACTGTGTATTTATTCCTCGTGTCACTATTTATTTTATGTTTGTATGTTTTTACATCTTTAACTCTGCATTGTTGGAAAAGGACCTGTAAGTAAGCATTTCACTGTTAGTCTACACCGGTTGTTTACGAAGCATGTGACAAATAACATTTTATTTTATTTAATGATTAGTTGATCATTTGAATCAGGTGTCCTTGCACTGAAATACATCAAATACATGCAATGGCTGGGGTGGTCCGCTGCCTCTTGGTAACATGCACTGTGTACTGCCGCTGCCAGCATGGGTTCCAATCCGTCCCACTGCGCTGTAGCACTTTGTGTCCTTCTATACTTGTTTCTCTCTATCCTGTCCAATAAATACAAAAGGGGAGGGACTGTAAAAAAAAAAAAGGAATGGCTGGTGGTACTCAAGACAGGTTTCAGAAACGGTATATGTATTGGGGGGGTCTGGTAAAACAGTTTCTTGTGACAGACAAAAACATTGAGCAGCTGGCTAGGAGAGCACACGAGAGACTTGGTTCTGGGTGCTGAGATTAGGTCAAATTTAAGTCATGTTGAGAGATAATGAACACGAATGAGGAGAAGCCTCGCTATGAACACCCCTAAATGCTCCTTAAAGGGATAGTTCACCCAAATTTCATCATTAAAAAAGCATGAGCTGTCAGCTGCAGACAGTCACTTTGGCCAATAGACTACTTCCCAGGTAAGAAAAAGATTAAGAAGTTTAAATATTTGACGCGGTAGACTTGGGAGTATGGGTCTGATGCATTTGTCTGACGCATAGACTTGAGTGGTGACATTAACCTTCCCTTACCGCTGCCCTGTCGGTCTGTCTGTCTGGCTGCTGGGGTCTGCCCTATGTCTGTCTGTCTGTCTGGCTGCTGGGGTCTGGACTGTGTCTGTCTGTCTGTCTGTCTGTCTGTCTGGCTGCAGGGGTCTGGACTGTGTCTGTAGTACACACTATACCCTTTGAACCCAGATACCTGCACGGGAAACATTGCGTTGCACAAGCACGTGAAAGGAAGGAACCAGGGCAGTGTGTGTGTGTGTCTTCCTGTCTGTCTGACTGTATGTCTGTCTGTGTAAAACGGCTATCATCTTAATTCCTGAATTAATTATCACATCAGCTGTTCCTTCAATTTGGAGAATGTACATATTAGGGTGTATATTTGTATATTTGTGTGCATATAAGCCGGTGGATGTATACACATGTTTGTGTACACAGTATGTGTTTGTGTTCACAGTTTGGTTTGTAAGCAGTGCATGTGTCTGTATTTGTGTATGTATAAACAGTTTACGTGCAAGAGAAGGTGTATCCAGTTTATGGGTATTCATGTCTGAGTACAGTATACAGTACATTACCTTCAGAAAGTGTTCACACCCCTGGACTTAATCCACATTGTGTTGTGTTACAAAATGGGATTAAAATGGATTTAATTGTCATTTTCTTTGTTAACGATCTACACAAAATACTCTGTAATGTCAAAGTGGAAGAAAAATTCTAACATTTGTAAAAATAAAAATCATGAAAAATAAAACACTAATATCTTGATTAGATAAGTATTCAACCCCCTGAGTCAATACATGCTAGAATCACCTTTGGCAGCGATTACAGCTGTGAGTCTTTCTGGGTAAGTCGCTAAGAGCTTGCCACACCTGGATTGTGAAACATTTGCCCATTATTCTTTTTAGAATTCTTCAAGCTTTGTCAAATTAATTGTTGATCATTGCTGGACAACCATTTTCAGGTCTTGCCATAGATTTTCAAGCCATTTTTAGTCAAAACTGTAACTCGGCCACTCAGGAACATTCACTGTCTTCTTTGCACGCAACTCCAGTGTAGATTTGGCCTTGTGTTTTAGCTTATTGTCCTACTGAAAGGTAAATTCATCACCCAGTGTCTGATGGAAAGCAAACTGAACTGGTTTACCTCTAGCTCCATTCCGTTGATTTTTTATCCAGTCCTTAACGATTACAAGCATACCCATAACATGATGTAGCCACCACTACGCTTGACAATATGGAGAGTGGTACTCAGTAATGTGTTGTATTGGATTTGCCCCAAACATAAACTTTGTATTCAGGACAAAAAGTTGATTGCTTTTCCACATTTTTTCCAGTATTACTTTAGTGCCTTATTGCAAACAGGATGCATGTTTTGGAATATTTGTTATTCTGTACAGGTTTCCTTCTTTTCACTCTGTCAATTAGGTTAGTATTGTGGCGTAACTACAATGTTGTTGATCCATCCTCAGTTTCCTCCTATCACAGCCATTAAACTCTGTAACTGTTTTAAAGTCACCATTCGCCTCATGGTGAAATCCCTGAGTGGTTTCCTTTCTCTCCGGTAACTGAGTTAGGAAGGACGCCTGTATCTTTGCAGTGACTGGGTGTATTGATACACCATCCAAAGTGTAATAAATAACTTCACCATGCTCAAAGGGATATATCTTTGCGAGGCATTGGAAAACCTCTCTGGTCTATGTGGTTGAATCTGTGTTTGAAATTCACTGCTTGACTGAGGGACCTTACAGATAATTGTATGTGTGGGGTACAAAGATGAGGTAGTCATTCAAAAATCATGTTAAACACTATTATTGCACACAGAGTGAGTCCATACTTATTATGTGACTTGTTAAGCAAATGTTTACTCCTGAACTTATTTAGGCTTGTCATAACAAAGGGGTTGAATACTTATTGACTCAAGACATTTCCATTTTCATTTTTTACTTATTTGTAAACATTTCAAAAAACATAATTCCACTTTGACATTATGGAGTATTGTGTGTAGGCCAGTGACAAAAAAATTGGAATTTAATCAATTTTATTCAGGCTGTAACACAACAAAATGTGGAAAAAGTCAAGGGGTGTGAATACTTTCTGAAGGCTCTGTATATGTCTGTATCCTGTTTATGTGCATTCGTGTCTGTACCTGAGTACAGAATGGAATGGAGTCAAACATGTGGTTTCCATGTTTGACGTGTTTGATACCATTCCATTCATTCCATTCCAGAAATTACAACGAGCCCATCCTCCTATAGCTTCCACTGGTGTACAGTATGTGTGTGAGCATTTGTGTGTGTGTGTATCTGAGTCTGTGTGTATCCAGTGTGTGTATGTGTCTATGTAACGTATAATATGTTTGTGACCTGTGATAACACACACTCTGATCCTCAAACGGTGGGCCACTTCCTGCTTTATCTGATGGGGTTTGTGACCGCTTCACTGGCAGGCAGAGCTAGGGGCAGCCCAGGGGTCCTCAGGGGTCCTTGTCCCCGTAATGACTTTGGCCTAATTACAGTTACAACACTGGGCTTGAAGCCAGCCAGCTAGGAAATCAAACTAGGCTCTATAGGCCTTGGAAAGGGGGAATACGAGAGAAGACTTGGCCACTACAAAACACAGGACAAACTTCAAAGAATGGTTTAAATAAAAACGGAGCACTGTTGGTGAAGAATCCCTAAGCCTTGACGGAGAGGTTCATCACCATAACCTTAAGGTCATCTTAGTGAGTGAGCTCGTGTCACGGATCCCCCCAGTCCTGCTGTTCATTCCATTCACCAGTTCCGGAGGTCTACGTCACCGGCTTTCTAGGCGTCACTGACATGGATCATTACCACCAACCCCGGACTGTCTTGTCTCATTACGCACACCTGGTTCCCATTCCCCCTGATTAGTATGTGTATATACAGTGGGGGAAAAAAGTATTTAGTCAGCCACCAATTGTGCAAGTTCTCCCACTTAAAAAGATGAGAGAGGCCTGTCATTTTCATCATAGGTACACAAATTGAGAAGAAAAAAAATCCAGAAAATCACACTGTAGGATTTTTTATGAATTTATTTGCAAACTATGGTGGAAAATAAGTATTTCTGGCTCTCACAGACCTGTAACTTCTTCTTGAAGAGGCTCCTCTGTCCTCCACTCGTTACCTGTATTAATGGCACCTGTTTGAACTTGTTTTCAGTATAAAAGACACCTGTCCACAACCTCAAACAGTCACACTCCAAACTCCACTATGGCCAAGACCAAAGAGCTGTCAAAGGACACCAGAAACAAAATTGTAGACCTGCACCAGGCTGGGAAGACTGAATCTGCAATAGGTAAGCAGCTTGGTTTGAAGAAATCAACTGTGGGAGCAATTATTAGGAAATGGAAGACATACAAGACCACTGATAATCTCCCTCGATCTGGGGCTCCACGCATGATCTCAGCCCGTGGGGTCAAAATGATCACAAGAACGGTGAGCAAAAATCCCAGAACCACATGGGGGGACCTAGTGAATGACCTGCAGAGAGCTGGGACCAAAGTAACAAAGCCTACCATCAGTAACACACTACGCCGCAGGGACTCAAATCCTGCAGTGCCAGACGTGTCCCCCTGCTTAAGCCAGTACATGTCCAGGCCCATCTGAAGTTTGCTAGAGTGCATTTGGATGATCCAGAAGAGGATTGGGAGAATGTCATATGGTCAGATGAAACCAAAAGAGAACTTTTTGGTAAAAACTCAACTCGCCGTGTTTGGAGGACAAAGAATGCTGAGTTGCATCCAAAGAACACCATACCTACTGTGAAGCATGGGGGTGGAAACATCATACTTTGGGGCTGTTTTTCTGAAAAGGGACCAGGACGACTGATCCGTGTAAAGGAAAGAATGAATGGGGCCATGTATCGTTAGAGTTTGAGTGAAAACCTCCTTCCATCAGCAAGGGCAAGAAGGAGTGGCTTCGTAAGAAGCATTTCAAGGTCCTGGAGTGGCCTAGCCAGTCTCCAGATCTCAACCCCATAGAAAATCTTTGGAGGGAGTTGAAAGTCCGTGTTGCCCAGCGACAGCCCCGAAACATCACTGCTCTAGAGGAGATCTGCATGGAGGAATGGGCCAAAATACCAGCAACAGTGTGTGAAAACCTTGTGAAGACTTACAGAAAACGTTTGACCTGTGTCATTGCCAACAAAGGGTATATAACAAAGTATTGAGAAACTTTTGTTATTGACCAAATACTTATTTTCCACCATAATTTGCAAATAAATTCATTAAAAATCCTACAATTTCTCATTTTGTCTGTCATAGTTGACGTGTACCTATGATGAAAATTACAGGCCTCTCTCATCTTTTTAAGTGGGAGAACTTGCACAATTGGTGGCTGACTAAATACTTTTTTTCCCCACTGTATGTGCCCTCTGTTCCCCATTGTCCTTGTCGATTATTGTCCCATGTCCATTGGTCTCGTGAGTACCATGTATTGTATTCTGGTTGTTTACGGGTTTCGTCCCGTGTATTGTGTAGAGGTTACACCTCACTCTTTGTTTGGGTTACATCCCTTTTGTATATATATACGTGTTTGTTTTGGGTGGAGTAATAAAACCCCTAATACGTATTCCTGCGCCTGTCTTCTAATCATTATACAACGTGACAGCTCGCTAATAGAAGCCTTATAGTTTTATGGCTAAAGGGAAATGTTTATGGTTAAACAATCAACTTTAACTGGGGGGAATACTTTGAAATTCGGTATACACTGTCTTTTGTAAAATCTACGTATGAAACCTGATGTTAACATTGTTAATGGGGAAACTCATCATACTTTACACAAGGAAGAAACATTGATGAGCTGCTTTTCCACGCATTCACACCAACTAATTCCACCAGGTTATTCAGCCAGGTACCTTACCTTCTTTGTCAAAAATGACGACACTGCAATCCCATTGACCCTGGCTCCAGGGACATAAGTACACAGATCCACCTTCTATGACGTTCGGTTGGCTGGTGTTAGCTTTGGGAGCACCAATCAGAATACTGGAACTGTAGAAAAAAAACAGAAGACAAAAACACATTATTAGTGCACAGTCGGCCAAAAATAACCATAAGTGGGAGTACAGGAAGCTATGAGTTCTTTTGATCAATTAATCTTCGGTTACTGTTTTTAACTGATTTGAGCAATGATTTGGCCACATATACTCCCTCCCTTCATGGATCCTGTTCCCTATAAGTAATGTTGACTCACTTAAAAGGCAGTTCAGGGCTGCATTCACAAAGTATTTCATTTTAGGACAGCTAATCTAGGATCATGTCCCCCCTGACAATATAATATTCTTAATTAATTAACTATGCTCTATCTATGATTTAAGGCTAAACTGATCCTAGATCAGCACACCTACTATGAGATGCTTTATGAATACAGGCCCTGAAAGGATCCTTCTCATTTTACAGGTACCTTATCATCATCATCATCATCATCGCCACCAGTCTGTCATAACGTTCCCCAATGGCTCTGTCCTGTCTCAGTAAACAGATCATAGCTGAGGCTAGTTTTTATCTCCATCACCTCTACTGGACTGATAGAGGGAGGAGGAGGGTAAATGGGTAGATAGGAGAGCGAGCGAGTGAGCGAGAGAGAGAGAAGATGGGACATTCTAGTCTACTTCCATCTCTCCACAATCCAAAAGACGCAGTGTAGGATACCTACATTTAATCAATCAGTATTCCACCAAAGAGGCTAAACACGAAACACATTTCAGTGGAGTATTGGGCTACTAAGGGGCAAATGGCGACAATCTGTGGAAATGGAATAAATGACGAGAACGAACACGACACTTTAATGTAGGGAAATCACTGCATTAACATTGCAGCTTATTCAACACAACCATACAGCTGCTGCTGATCACTTATTACTGCCAGACACCCTCTTTACCAAAACACTAGGGTTCTGTGTTAACTAGGCTTATTGCCAGACACCCTCTTTACCAAAACACTAGGGTTCTGTGTTAACTAGGCTTATTGCCAGACACCCTCTTTACCAAAACACTAGGGTTCTGTGTTAACTAGGCTTATTGCCAGACACCCTCTTTACCAAAACACTAGGGTTCTGTGTTAACTAGGCTTATTGACTCACACTGTGTATGTCACTGAGACACATAAACAACTTTGGCATGCTGAAAAACAGCAAACTCTGGAAACCACCTGTATGGGACAACACAATCTAATTTGCGGCATGCATGGACATGAGCGGAGCCTTTTTGGGGCGAGTGAGAAAAAAAGTGTGTCACTCTATTTGTCTCTCTATGACATCAACTGCTGTCCACCTACTCCAACCAAAACCAGGCAGGAGTGAGCAACAGTCATATGATCAAGTTTACGAAATCAAAACAATAAAAATAGGTAGCTATTCAATGATTTAGTTTATTTCAGCACAAAGGCTACCGTTGTCCTGTCCTGACAAGGCAAATAAAGCACCAGGGGGAAAAGAGCTGACTTCTACAATTGGGCTGAATCAACATCTTGGTAATGACTCCACAACACACATCTGTCAGAAAACGGTAGAAGGAAAGCTGGGGCAGGGGGAGTTGATATAGGCCTAGCCTCTAAATATGTGTTTAAACATCGATCAGCTCAGCCCCGATGTTTAATGGTGACCCTCAGATTTGAGTAAATGGGTCGTCCTTATTAACTATTAGGAAAATGAGCATTGTGACCTAACATTATCATTTAATTTTTAGTAGACGCTCTTATCCAGAGCGACTTACAGTTAGTGAGTGCATAATTTTTTTTTCATACTCTTCCCCCATGGGAATTGAATCCACAACCCTGGCGTTGCAAGCGCCATGCTCTACCAACTGAGCTACACGGGACATTATATTATAGGCCTCATGATTATGTCAAAGCTAAATCTCTAGAGTGATCCCATTGTAAACTTGGCCTGCATGACCAACTTGATGCCCCTTTCTTATTAGAATTAGTCCAACCATAGTCTGACACTGTGGTTGTTCAAACCTAGGTCTAGGTCACGCCATCTCTCACTATTTGATCAAGCTACCTACATGTAACCTCGCCCCCAGGCTCAATTTCTACCGTGAGATTAATGGACAAGGGCTGTTCATGTTTTGCTTATTTCCTGAGTAATGGTGCAAGATGATACTTCAGTTCAGTTTAAACCATTGGACTTCCTCCCTGCTGATGGTCTCTAATGGTCATTTAAAAGAAAGGGACTTGAAGTTTACAAACAGACTACTACCTTACTGCTCATGTCCTTTAATTGTCTTCAGCTGCCATGACACTGTTGATGACGATGGTTGCTCTAAAAAGGATAGGCCGTGTGTGTGTATTTGTATTATAATAGGCTTAGAAATATTCTTTAGTGAGTTATTTAGGGGAATGATGTTCAAGGTTCATGAGACTTTACCTTCTACTGCTGGCTAATAGCATCCATGAATCCGTAAATATGAAAGAAATTACACTGAACAAAAATATAAAACGCAACATGTAAAGTGTTGGTCCCATGTTTCATGAGCTCAAATAAACGATCCCAGACATTTTCCATACGCACAAAAAGCGTATTTCTCTCAAATTTTGGGAAAAGATTTGTTTACATCCCTGTTAGTGAGCATTTCTCCTTTGCCAAGATAATCCATCCAACTGACAGACGTGGCATATCAAGAAGCTGATTCAACAGCATGATCATTACACAGTTGCATCTTGTGCTGGGGTCAATAAAAGGCCACTCTAAAATGTGCAGTGTTGTCACACAACACAATGCCACAGAGTTTTGAGGGAGTGTGCAATTGGCATGCGGACTGCAGGAATGTCCACCAGAGCTGTTGCCAGAGAATTGAATATTAATTTCTCTACTATAAGCCACCTCCAACGTCATTTTATAGAATTTGGCAGTACATCCAACCGGCCTCACAACCGCAGACCACGTGTATGGCGTAGTGTGGGCGAGCGGTTTGCTGATGTCAATGTTGTGAACAGAGTGCCCCATGGTGGCGGTGGTGTTATGGTATGGGCAGGCATAAGCTACAGACAGCGAACACAATTTAATTTTATCTATGGCAATTTGAATGCACAGAGATACTGTGAATAGATCCTGAGGCCCATTGTCGTGCCATTAATCTGCCACCAAAACCTCATGTTTCAGTGTGATAATGCACGGCCCCATGTCGCAAGGATCTGTACACAATTCCCAGTTCTTCCATGGCCTGCATACTCACCAGACATGTCACCCATTGAGCATGTTTGGGATGCTCTGGATCGAGGTGCACAACAGTGTGTTCCAGTTCCCGCCAATATCCAGCAACTTCACACAGCCATTGAAGAGGAGTGGGACGACATTCCACAGGCCACAATCAACAGCCTGATCAACTCTATGCAAAGGAGATGTGTCTCACTGCATGAGGCAAATGGCGGTCACACCAGATACTGACTGGTTTTCTGATCCATGCCCCTACCTTTTTTTAAAGGTATCTGTGACCAACAGGTGCATATCTGTATTACCAGTCATATGAAATCCATAGATTAGGGCCTAATGAATTTATTTCAATTGACTGATTTCCTTATATGAACTGTAACTCAGTAAAATCTTTGAAATTGTTGCATGTTGCATTTATATTTGTGTTCTTTATATAATACAATTCTAGAAGGGTGGGGGGGGGGGGACCCTATTCAAAGTCCATGGAATCCCCATTCATCCAAGGATTTTCATTTTCACTTTATTTGATCCAGATCCGCAAAAATGCTGAATATATCTTTCTGGAATATATCACAGAATAATCAATGAATAACGACAAATGCTTTATCGGCTATCAGGCCTAGCTTACTGACCACAGGCTATGCTGGAGAAAGTGAACATATGGAAAATAGCCTACTTAGCATGATGATACAGCCGGTGGCAATTTGCTTCTTCAAAGTCCAATGTCTTGAAAACTTGACTGCTGACATGGAAAACATTTTGGGACTGTATCAACAGTGGACTAATAAAAACAATATTTCTGCATTTTTTTCCGAGTGGAGCTTCCCTTTAAGATGATATCACACCATGAGAGTAAGCGGGTTGCCATTTATTGTCATAAATCTTGGTCTGGAGGCAGCTCTGCAGAGTAGTCACTAGCTGGCACAGCCACAAAGTTATAAAATATTTTTACGAAATAGAACATTTTAACTTTGCAGCTGGCCCATCTAGCAAAAATCGCTCAGTTCCGCCTCCAGGGCAAGATTCATGACAATAAACGTCAACCTGCGCTTGTCCAATGTAGTTCCCTACAAACCGTTATTCAAATCGAAATAGTACAATGCCGTGTAGACCATGCGTGAAAGTAGACTACATTGAATTACAAGAATATCAAATAGGGAATAATTCATATCCCTTTTGAAGTTAATGGATTTGTGTATAGTGTGGTGGCATTTGCCTAAAACACCATAAAAGAAAGCAAATCTAACTGAGGGGTAAGATTAATGCGCACTCACCTAGATGCATTATTGTAGAAAAAATCCAAGGAATAACCGAAAAAACTTCCCTTAGGTCCAGAGTAGACGACCCGGTTTTCTGTTTCCAAGTTAAACGTTGCGCACACCTGAATAAAAACCACTGCAAGTACAACGAACCGGACGCAATAACCTGGATTTCCCAGGATTGAGTTGACTGAAATTGTTGAAAGTCGCCGTCCAGTGCCCATCTCTTTTATGCGTCTTTTCTTTCATCGAATCGCAAGACAATATTTAACCTGCTATGAGTTGTGAAACGCCTGCCTGAAATGTTTGGTAATGCATATTCCAACATATAAATGAATTCATCGTGAATGGAATAGGATCCCGTTTCACTCTGAATCTCCCTCTCATACTAGCAGCGTAAGACTCATAGAGGGAGTTCATGGCAAACTTATTTTGGGGTGGAGCTTTGGATATTAAAATGGGGAGGTGGGCACACTCCAAACCAGATTTGGTGTATGTGTGTGTATGTGTGTGTGTGTGTGTGTGTGTGTGCTACTGAGATGTAAAAAATTGAGAGAAAAAAATGATAGCCTAATTTTGTATTGGTATACATTATATTTTCAGTTTTTGATTTATTGGCCTAGGTTACAGTGATTCAATCTAAACTCCAGCTTTCACTGCAATTACTCTGTCATTATTTTGTAATGTAGCTCATTAAGCATATGGGATTTTATTTTACTCTTGCTAGCTTTGTGCAAAGCAGAGCATGATTGAGAACCTCAAAGTACCGCAAGGATATTATTGGTGTCTGTTTTTACAGTCAGAAGTGTTAACACACACACCACCTCTGACCATTCCCTTGTTTCCTCTCCAGTTCATGCATACAGTATAAATCATTGTTACATAGATTACACACAAATAGAAGGATTTTAAAAGTTGTCTACCTTGTCAGCAATACAAAGAGATATTTGAGCAGCCAAATGGCTGTATGATTCAACTTTGTTATGTCTTAATCCATGCTCTCCTGCATCCCCCCCCCCCCCCCATTTACACTCACACCAGCATGACAGGCTCATGTCTGTATTTTGTCAGAACAAAGTGATAAGAGGCATGACACAGACACATGCTGTCTCTTGACTTGTGAGCAGTGAAAGATGGCATGCTCGCCTACACACACACGCACACACGCACACACACACACACACACACACACACACACACACACACACACACACAGACACGCAGGAAACCACAGGATTAGGGGCTATTAAAACAACAACATGCAAGCGTGGGACACCGAGTTTCAACATCTGTTAGCTGAAGTCACTGTCTAGGTATTCACAGATCCTGAAATTACTTGCCTTGAGATGCTTGGGGGAGAAGAAAAATACATTTCCCAACGTGTTTTCTTGTTAACATTCTGCAGTAAAAGTAAATCTCCTATTTAGATACCTGTAAGTGAGGAGATTATTGTTTAAACAATTGCATAGATCAAGTTTGAGGCGAGTTTGATTGAACCAGATCTGTTTACTTTTGTTTGAGTCTAGAGACTAAGACATCTTCATGTGCATTACCATTACACAATCGTCATCCATTCACCAATACACTACGGGACGGTTTCACGGGCAGACTAAACCTAGTCCTAGACTAATAAACATGCCTAATTGAGAATCTCTATTGAAAATGTTTTTCATTCCAGGACTAGGCTTAATCTGTGTCCAGGAAACCACCCCTACATGTTTACTTAAATAAATAACCCTAATACTGGAGTAGAGGCAAACTTTTAAGAGATATATTAGATTTTATGGTGATGTGGCCTCCACCCAGACTGGTAATTATGTCAAATCTTGAGTCAGGTTAACTGGTGAATTCCTTACCATGTTGCCTTCTTTTGAGACCTTTGTACAGAAAAATAAAAACCCATTTGGTTAGGTACCACCCAATATTGTGTAAAATCTTTTGGCAAAACTAGTAGTTGTATCACAACCATTGTATCAAATGCATTATACATACATCAGTTGTACAACCTGAGTGTGTACACTGAAAATAAATCTGTCTATCTAGAACCTAAAAGGGTTATTTTGGCTGTCCCCACAGGACAACCTTTTGGAGAACCCTTTTAAGTTCCAGGTAGAATCCTTTTCACAGAGGGTTCTACAGTGAGGGAAAAAAGTATTTGATCCCCTGCTGATTTGTACATTTGCCCACTGACAAAGAAATGATCAGTCTATCATTTTAAATGGTAGGTTTATTTGAATAGTGAGAGACAGAATAACAACAAAAAAATCCAGAAAAACGAATGTCAAAAATGTTATAAATTGATTTGCATTTTAATGAGGGAAATACGTTTTTGACCCCTCTGCAAAACATGACTTAGTACTTGGTGGCAAAACCCTTGTTGGCAATCACAGAGGTCAGACGTTTCTTGTAGTTGGCCACCAGGTTTGCACACATCTCAGGAGGGATTTTGTCCCACTCCTCTTTGCAGATCTTCTCCAAGTCATTAAGGTTTTGAGCCTGACGTTTGGCAACTCGAACCTTCAGCTCCCTCCACAGATTTTCTATGGGATTAAAGTCTGGAGACTGGCTAGGCCACTCCAGGACCTTAATGTGCTTCTTCTTGAGCCACTCCTTTGTTGCCTTGGCCGTGTGTTTTGGGTCATTGTCATGCTGGAATACCCATCCACGACCCATTTTCAATGCCCTGGCTGAGGGAAGGAGGTTCTCACCCAAGATTTGACGGTACATGGCCCCGTCCATCGTCCCTTTGATGCGGTGAAGTTATCCTGGCCCCTTAGCAGAAAAACACCCCCAAAGCATAATGTTTCCACCTCCATGTTTGATGGTGGGGAAGGTGTTCTTGGGGTCATAGGCAGCATTCCTCCTCCTCCAAACATGGCGAGTTGAGTTGATGCCGAAGAGCTCGATTTTGGTCTCATCTGACCACAACACTTTCACCCAGTTCTCCTCTGAATCATTCAGATGTTCATAGGCAAACTTCAGACAGCCCTGTATATGTGCTTTCTTGAGCAGGGGGACCTTGCGGGCGCTGCAGGATTTCAGTCCTTCACGGCGTAGTGTATTACCAATTGTTTTCTTGGTGACTATGGTCCCAGCTGCCTTGAGATCATTGACAAGATCCTCCCGTGTAGTTCTGGGCTGATTCCTCACCGTTCTCATGATCATTGCAACTCCACGAGGTGAGATCTTGCATGGAACCCCAGGCCGAGGCAGATTGACAGTTATTTTGTGTTTCTTCCATTTGCGAATAATCGCACCAACTGTTGTCACCTTCTCACCAAGCTGCTTGGCGATGGTCTTGTAGCCCATTCCAGCCTTGTGTAGGTCTACAATCTTGTCCTTGACATCCTTGGAGAGCTCTTTGGTCTTTGCCATGGAAACTGATTGATTGATTGCTTCTGTGGACCAGTGTCTTTTATACAGGTAACACACTGAGATTAGGAGTACTCCCTTTAAGAGTGTGCTCCTAATCTCAGCTCGTTACCTGTATAATAGACAACTGGGAGCCAGAAACCTTTCTGATTGAGAGGGGGTCAAATACTTATTTCCCTCATTAATATGCAAATCAATTTATAAAATGTTTGACATGCGTTTTTCTGGATTTCGTTGTTGTTATTCTGTCTCTCACTGTTCAAATAAACCTACCATAAAATGTATAGACTGATCATTTCTTTGTCAGTGGGCAAACGTACAAAATCAGCAGGGGATCAAATACTTGTTTCCCCTCACTGTGCATGGAACCCAAAAGGGTTCTACCTAGAACCAAAAAGGGTTCTCCTATGGGGACAGTCGAAGAACCCTTTAGGAACCGATTTTTCTAAGAGTGTACAGAACTTAAAAAGCTCATAATGGACTAATGACAACAGTAATAATAATAATAATAATAATATGCCATTTAGCAGACGCTTTTATCCAAAGCGACTTACAGTCATGCGTGCATACATTTTTTTTGTGTATGGGTGGTCCCGGGGATCGAACCCACTACCTTGGCGTTACAAGCGCCGTGCTCTACCAGCTGAGCTACAGAGGACAGTCATGGGGGCTGCTTTCCTGTTCGTCAGGTTATGGGCTGTATTTGTTTACAGAACGATGTACAGATGACCTTGAATGTCTCTACCAAGAAGAGAGGTCATCGGTCCAAGAAGGGCAGGCACTGAATAGCCTGCCAACATGAGACTTTCATTTTGCATGACAAATGTTTTCATTAACATTTTGCTTATAGACTTCTTTTAAAATAGATTTCTCGTGATATTTTGCAAGAAAATGTTTGATATGCTAGACAATAACCGACCTGGAAGAACAGGTGTGTTGAATTTAGGCAATCACTGAACTGATCAATTAGTTCAGTTGGTCAGGCATGGTGCCTAGTTTGAAGAAAATCCTGCTGTACCTGCGTCACTCCAGGAACAGGGCTGCCTACCCCTGGTCTATGGTATGGACACACGTGTTGAGGTGGAACAGAGGTTTAGATTTATCAAGCACTGATTCTTCACACTCGCACACAACCTCCAATCCATGAATGCAAACAGAAATCCTTCAATCAAGGTATGGCTTTGTATAAGTTGGGCAATAATAATGTTAGAGACTTCCGTAAATGTAGTAAAGTGTTCTTTTAGACTGAATACTTAATTTAACATATAATTTTTCATTTGACAAATTTCACATTTTGGGATTTCAAATATTGTGCTCTGTTTTTTCATTAATTTAAAGCATGTACATTTTTTTATGCTTGAATTAGCTGTGGTTTTAAGGGTTGATGTAAATTACATCCTGATGCAGTCAGTTTGGTAGATCAGGTACCTAAACTATTCTTATAAACTGGGTGGTTCGAGCCCTGAATGCTGATTGGCTGAAAGCTGTGGTATACCACAGGTATGACAAAACATTCATTTTTACTCTTGTAATTACGTTGGTAACCAGTTTATAATTGCAATAAGGCACCTCAGGGGTTTGTTGTCCGCATTGCGTCTTGTTTAAGAACAGCCCTTAGCCGTGGTATATTGACCATATACCACACCCCCTCGTGTCTTATTGCTTATTTCTACAATGGAACTTCCTGGCAATTTTTTTCATCATCTTTTTGCAGTGTCCACTGTAACCATCGCGACGCGATATCAAGAAATGAATACTTCGACAGCAAATAACTTCACTACTGCTTCCACCGTCCCTTTGAAGGCTGGTGTTGCAGCATCCAATTTAATCCTTTAGTAACCAACATCATTCTAAGTCTCCCCACCCATGTCTATGTCTTGTGGCTGATAGTGACCGGAGGGGAGGGCTTGGTGGCCTCAGACTTCTTCACTCTCAACCAGTCCACGTCTGAAATACTGTATTCTACAAGTTTGTCAGCCAATGGAAAACCTGCGCAACAGTAAATGGAGCAGATTT